TTCTGATTTCATTGAGATTGAGCTCATTCGTCATTTAAATCTGCATCCTGGCAGGAAATTGAAATAAAAAGGGAAAGTTTCTTAAAATAAAAATAATTGATTAGTACAAAATGAGGCCTTTACAATACAACTATTAGAAAGGCAATGAACAACGAAGAAATTTAATTCCATATTGATTGGTGTATTTGTGTATTGAGAAATACGGCAAAGCACACTAGGGCTATTGACAAGGGGAGATGGGCTTCGTGGAGACTTTGTAATGGAAACTGGCTCGTATACACGCACACTGGGGGGAAAACCCGAAAACGCAGAGCCGCCCGTTCACGGGATTCGAACCTCGAACCGAACTACCAGTGTTTAGCAATTTTACCGCTCGGCCGCTGGTGGGCTTAATTCCATATTGAAGCAGAGAGCATAGAAGATAATCTAAGCTGAGGATAAGAAACCACACTGAATGCATAACTAAAAATGTAATAACTGTTTAAACACCGTCATTAAAAGGAAATCTAAATTAGATGTTAAATCAGAAAATAATCTCTCTGTAAATAATAATATCAATTTTACTGCATGCATTCTCGACCTAGATCACTAAGATCCTAAATCTCAGGAATAAAAGATAAGTAGCTTAAAATACACACACTGGCGAAGGAATTAGAAACCCAAGATCAATATTTTATTGGACTATCTTTTGCATGGATAACTGCTCTGATTCATTTGGGCATTGAGTCTACATGCTTCTGTAGTGCATTTACGTCCAGAGAACACCATGCATTGGCTATGCAGCTTTTTAAATCTTGTAAATTAGATGGAACAGGAGAGTGCTGTCGAATGCGTCTTTTCACTATATCCCATATCACCCCCATATATCTATGGGGTTAAGATCCGGGCTATGGGTGGCCAGGGAAGGTGTTGGAAGTCAGATTGATGTTCAGCGTACCAAATTTGAACACTTCTGGCACGATGTATAGTTGTATTGTCATCTATGAAGTATCCGTCGCCATCAGGGTATTAATGAAACATTGCAGGGTGCACTTGATCTGCCAGTATATGTAGGTTATCTCATAGCTGCTTGTTTACCCTCGAGGAACACCAGGGCGCTATTTCCATGCCAGCAGAACATGCTGATACTCCACCAGTCATGATACTCCCACCAGACCCTTGCACAGTGCGAGTAAGGAAAGATGGCTTCATGGTTTCATGGGATTCTCGCCAAATTCGACGTCTTCCACCAGTGCAAAATATGGTGTAGAGTGATTCATCCTACCATATTACCCTTTTCCAATCCTCAGATGTCCAGTGTCTTCCTTCTCGACACCCTTGCAAACGAATTCTTGCATGTCGGACAGAAATGAGTAGTTTTCTCACAGGCACCAGACTATGCATTCCTATCCTCTGCAATTCTCTGGGCAGGGTTTGAGCTGAAATCTTTTGGGAAAAGCCTTGGTTGACGATCTGAGTCAGTTGAAGAAGAGTAGAGTCCCTGTTCTGCCGTACAATTCTTCGGAGACGACGTCGATCACCCTTTTGGAAAACAGCGCTCGAACCGCAGTTACATCTTCTAGAGAAGGATTATGGGGTTCTGATTTCAATTTTTGGAAACATTTGATATAGCTGGTTTTGAGAATCCAATGAGATTTGCTGTCTTCGAAATGAAGGCCCCTGCTAAACGGGCACGAAAAATAAGCCCTTTTTCAAATTGTGAAAGCTCTGTCGTTTTCCCCATTTTACTTCATTCATCGTGAAAAGCACTCTTACACAGCCTACGCCTATTCGTAGCCGGAACACGACGTCGAAAGAAACGTTTCTCAGAACTCTGTTTCCACGAAACCCGGTTACAATCTTCACTTGGTAAACAGACTTGAAAGGCAAACAGGAATCAGTTATCGCTCAGATAGCCGAAAGAGACGTTTGCTTTCAAGTTGAATTGCTTTTTCGGTGTAGTATTTTGTACCGCTCACACTGTTTTCATTTTAAACTTTATTGTTAGTTTTGGAAAATTATTGGTAGTTAGGTAATACTGTTCATAGCTGAAGATAATAAAGGGTTATTTTCACCCTTCTTCTGTGCTGTTATTATTTCATGCTTGTGCGAGAAGTCGGCAGCTTCCTTAATAGGATCTAGTAGAGTTAATGTGGCCAAAGAGAGGAAGATCCTATAAACTCTTTATACCTGTGTTCCTTACTAATTAATGCATTATTTACTTTATGAATAGACTAATGTTCAAGTAACAGATAAACACACTTCTAGTTACAACAATCAATTACATCAATAACAGCCAAATTGTGTGTACATCTGAACAGTTTAAAACGTGTGCTGGATAAGTCTGCTTATCAGACATTACATATGTGTACTTTCTTATATATGCATTCCAATGAAAACTGATGGCTCACTGGAAATTTTGTGAACTGGTGAAAACATTTCTTTGACTAACTTTATGACTCGTAAGTACTGTTCTATCCATATATATAAACAAAAACAAAACAAAAAACAGGAACTTTTATGACGAAATTCTGTATGACTGATATTTACATCCTCACAGGTGTGAGTTACTTATTGTCCCATAGAACACTCGGTAGTATACCTAAAACACATTAACTTTACCAACTCTTGAAATTAGGGAATGTACATAATGAGTTTGTTTTGGTTTGTTTTATGAGATTATTGCAAAGCCTTGAGGGTTGTCTGCCTAACAGGAGGGAGGCCTTCGGGGAGGACATTTTAAGGAAAACTTGATCGTATACACGTAACAAATGGGGAAAACCACAAAAGCACCCATCCAGCCAGCCAGTTCGCGGCATTCAAACCTCAGACCAGCTACCAGTGTTCAACGACTTTACCGGTTGGCCACTGGTAGGCCAGTGCACATAATGAGAAATTATAATCTATTATGTAAACACACATAAAAGTGATAATCAATTGTGCACTATATGTTTTAAGTGATCAAATGTTATAAATGCACAGTTGTTAAATTTCTTATTATTCAATCGGCATGTTTATACTATGTAGATCTTACATATCATCATACATATGATATAATTATGAATTAACCCAAAAACGAAATGCGTACACTCTTTAGTACTCAAGTGCTCATCAATTATTTTTCAACTGTGAATTCCATATCCATGATAATGTGCAAAGAACTGATGACTGCAGTTGCTGCCAGTTGCAGGATCATTATATGAATTAGAAGTGATTTCAAGTAAACTTTATGGCAATGTTTACATGCGCATAGATAGAGAGAGATGCGACGGTTTAGAAGCTGTTGGTGTATCTTTATTAGTATTAATGTAATGAATAAGATTTATATTAATGAATGTATACGCAAATGTTTTTCATCATGCATAATAATAAATCCATAAATTTCCAATGTTTCAATATGTAGCATTTACAATAAAAGTATAGTTTCTGATGCATTTATAATCTAAAAAGTATTTCATTAATAACATGAAAATAATATACAAATACTCATTATTACATAAACTATGCTTTCCTTTTTTACGCACCTTTTATGTTGTTTACAATATGTCGCTGATTATGCAATTAACAATTTAAAATATAAGTAATTAGGAGAAAAGTCGCTCATATACAAAAGGATTTTAAAAAAATTATTCAGCTTAAATTTAATAAATAAAATTCTATTACATAACAGTGCTAATATGGATCAGTAACAGTGATAATACACAATCAGCACGAAATACGATAAATTTGGCTAACTTCTGGCGACAGACCGCTGTCCAACTAAGCCAAAGCATAGAAAGCAAGTGCATAATGTTTAGGGCGAACTCTTAATTCAGACTGAGTTATTTTCGGTTTTTCCTCATAGCCGGGATATCGCTTCCTCGGCTAGACAGAATATTTCTCGGAAACCACCCGTTTAAATCTGGCTTTCGACCGCGTCTGGCAATGAGGGACTTCTCTCAAAATTGATTTCCTGTCACTTTTATTGAGAGCTTTTATTTGCAGTCTTCCATCACGAACAAGACGTTTATGTTTGCGTAAATGGTGCTGACTCCTGCGGGAAAAAAAAAAAAAAATCGTAGTGGTATTCCTCAAGGCTCGGTCCTGGGACCGATATTTTATTTATTTTATGCTGAAAATTTTCCAGAAATACCACAGAACAACTCTATTTTGGCTTGCTATGCAGATGACACGGCGTTATATGTGAAATCTGCAAATGTAAATCACACAGTAAAAAAAACTTCACGATCTTATTCATTCGATTGAACAGTGGTGGGCACAATGGCAAATCCAAATTAATGCCTCAAAGTCACAGCTCTTAATGATTCGGAAACGCAAAAGGAACGCTCCGATCAAAAAACAACTTTCTTTATTCAACGATATTGTTCCGGTGGTTCAGGCCAAACTTGGTTTTATTTCAGACCGATACTTGGACACATCATTATAGGGCGTGACAAAGCACTAAAATCATCAAGCTATACAATTATTGGGAAATCTCTTCACTGGACCTGAACAGAAGACCTTTTTACTTCTCCGTTATCAGACCGTCATGATTACGCTTCGCCGGCATGGACACTATCTCCGGATGAAAAAGCGTCAAGTAGTCAAACCAGATATCTCACATTATACAAGGCCATTTCGTTTCGTAACAAATCTTCTCAAGACCTTAAGATCGACGTTGGCAGTTTCTCAAAACTGAACGCTCTGTCAAGCTAAAATGTAATATAAGAACCATTTTGACCTTCAGCACGCGATTTTCATGAGGATCGCCATCTTCACCCTTTGCGGCTTCAGCTACGATAACCAAATTGCCGATAAGCTTAAATGTGCCTTCATCTGCCGTCGAAATCTCAGCTGAATATGGGTTTAGAGTGATTTTGACTCACCTCATATTTATTTAGAAAGGGGTGTAAATATGTGATATAGTCGCCATTTTCCGAGAAAATTTGTGTTTTATGTATTATATCTTGTCTCCAGGACTCACTTAGGCATTTCTGTCCCTGCATCGCTACGTGAAGTCGCCGGTATAATGAAGATAGCCGGTATACAGCTTGCAGCTTTGCAAGCTACACGCGGCGGCAACGGCAAACGGGAAGGAACGGTTGTATGCTAGTAGCGGTCTATGATGTTTTTGGGAATGAGGGGGTGCTAACCAAACAGCATCAAGTGTATTTACAATTGTTCGAAAAATACTGCTTAATTTTTACGTTCGCTATATACGCTTACGCCAAAATTTCTACCGCCCGCAGCAAAAATGTAGAAAATTAAAATCATAATTTCATTATCGCACAAAGGCAATCATTAATCGATAAATAAATAAATTTTATTTCTTTTTGAAAATTTATCGCATAGCGTCACGTGCTTTTTGTAAGTTTTTGTCAATTTGCGTCCGAAAAATTATTTGCGGTTTTTGGTACTGTAAATTTGTTCCTTCATGGCTTTGATTTTGACAGTTACATCATTGATTTTCTTTATTATTCCCGCCATGTGTGAATCTCGAACTATTCCGCTTGTTATAAATACGTGGGGTTTCAGAAATGGAACTGCTATAGGTAAGTGAAATGCTTGTTTACATTTATTTTGAATCTGGATTTTCGAACAAGCAGCATAAAGTCTGGTTTAAACGCAAAGGTAGCTGTAAATAATAAAAATTGTCACATAATTTGGAAATGTGCCAGTCTCAATTCCCTTGTATAATGGAAAACTTTTTCAAGATCCTAATGAAATGAGAAATATGTGTTACTCAGAATGTATTTTGCGGAATTATTGCACTCGAAAATAACGAATGCTTTTTTTGTAAATGTGGTGAATGCCTGGAGATACATAAACACTTCCTCATTGAAAAGCACTGTGATATTGAAATGTAGCCCTTGAAAATAAATGCAGTATTTTTTTTATAAAATTCAGATGTCATATTAGTTTGGAATCTTAATTTTTCTTTACTTTAATTAAAGTATTACCTAACATAATTACAAAATATTTTTTCGTATGACATAAATATTTAAATTATAAATTGAAAATTCTTGTTTGAAATTTCAAGTTACTGTATACTTTGATTTTGGTTAGAATATACATATCTGGTTTTAGCGAATATTCGTGAAACTAATGTTATTTGCAACATTCTAGTTTTGCCTCCCTCTTCACACTAGTCATGTATTTTATCTTCATTTATAATTATACCTGAAGCTCTGAACAATTTTTAAACACTTAATAAAAGTTGATATGAAATACTATTATTGGTTAAATTGTAACTAAACTATGTGATCATTATAAATATTGATCAAATTATATAAAATAAACATTAAGAAGCAGCAAAACTGATAAAAGTTTGAGTTTCAACTAAACTTGTGAGTTTAGTCTTGTATGCAGGATTAAATGATGGGAGGAATTTTTTCTTTATTCTGAGATATATATGCATTTCTGCTGTAAAATGCCAGGTTAACGGACAAATTTATTCTAATCATTTTAAGCAAATACTGAAAATAAGAATTTAATATTCAAGGTGAAATTTTTATTTCAGCCAAAAAATTTTCTTTAAAAAATGTTTAGACATTTGAGATAGTAAAAGTTACAACTGGTTGGAGTGCTTTCAGTGATGCAAAATATGCCTGTAGGCTTGTGATTCATGTAATTGTATTAAATATCTATTATGTTTTTTTTTTTTTGTTTGTTTGTGTAATTATGGCAAAGCCTCAAGGGCTATCTCGCCTAAGAGGAGGGATGCCTTCGTGGAGGACTTTCTAAGGGAACTGGCTCGTATACACGTTACACATGGGGAAAACCACGAAAATGCCCATGCAGCCAGCCCGTTCGCGGGATTCGAACCTCGGATCGAACTACCAGCGTTTAGCGACTTTACCACTCGGCTGCTGGTGGGCCCAAATATCTATTATGATATATTTGTTTGGCTAATCTTTGGAATATGGTAACAGGTAGTTTGGCGACATTTTGGTAAGGCGATAAAGGTTACTAGCTAAGACTTTAGCAGTGTACATAGTTAAAGTCGAGTGTGTGCAATGCCATTTTTGTGCAATTCTGGGATTTTTTTTAAGGGAAAATAGGTCGATCTGTACATGGATGATACCGTGTATGTGCAATTCTTAAAAACGTGGCAAGCAGTGGGCGATTCTACACTTTCTCCCAATTTCGCACCTAATCTTCGTCATGATTAAGCACATTTGTTCCATAAAAGTTCTAGCATAAGCGTAATTTGGCTAGCAGATTGTTGGAAAAAAAATTTTTGAGTTAAAAAGAAAAAAAAAAATGCCTTTACTTCGTGGAAATAAAATGGTCCAAAAAAAAAAAAAAAAACTAGCAGGTTGCTGTAGCAGGGTTGGTCGCCAAATTTTCGCCCCAAAATTGCTAAGTTTCCATAATCCAAAGATTAACCATTTGTTTTAACTGATTCAGCATGTGTATTACGTTTTGTGTCATTTATACTTAATTTCTTGTTCATGTCAGATTTGTCCTGCATTAATCAAACAAATTCTGAAAGGCTTGCAGTTAAATTTTAGATTATTTTTTTAGTTCATGAGATGTTTATTTGTTGGTTTTCATAAGGTCTGCCTGTATTATTTTGTGGTACTATGGGCATTTAATCTAATAAAATCTAAACTCTTCCTAAATGGTATTTTATTAAATCTGCCTTTGTATAACTTAATTTGTTTTTAGTTTTTAACTTTATCTGATATAATTACAGCGTGGGATGTAGTCTCTAGTGGTGGTTCTGCTCTTGATGCTGTAGAGAGAGGCTGCTCTCAGTGTGAGATAGAACAGTGTGATCATACAGTTGGTTATGGTGGTAGTCCTGATGAAAGTGGTGAAACTACTTTAGATGCTATGATAATGGATGGGTATGTGTTATTTACATATACTGTAAAATAATAAAAGCTTTATATTGCTCACTCTTTTAAAGAAATAATAGATATCAAGAATAAAATTATGTTAGTATACATTATCAAGTTAAAAAAATAAGAAAGTACTTCAGTTTGGCTGCATAAACATCATCAGACTTACTTGTGATGAATAAGAATGCTCATGAAATACTGTTTGGAAGAAATATATAAAAAGAAGAAATTATGGGAAGATTCAAAAATAAGAAAATGCTTACATTTGGCCACATGAACATCTTAAACCTATTTATGATGAGTAAGAATGCTGATGGAGTACAGTAGTACCTTCATATCCATGGGTAATACATTTCCAAACTTTTCAATGAATACATGAAACCATAGATAATAGCAAATGTTGTATATAATAAGATATTTGTACAACATACATAATCAAGATTAATTGACAAATAATGCAAGACGTTACCATCATGAAATAAATTAATAGCAGGGTTTCTTGTGCACTATAATATATATTGTATTGAGGAGCTTTCTGATTATTTGCACCCTGTTTCTGAAAAGTTCCTGGCTCATTGGCAACTAATTTTTCGCCAAGCTAATATGAGACAGGTAATGATTTTGAAAATGGTAGTGCACTAGGAATCCAATAAATGAGCAATGAATTAATAAATAAGAAAAACATGAAATGTGCATAACAAAACACTTACCTTCCTGGAGAAATCCTAATGTATTTGTTTTTTAATTTTTTTTATGTGTGTGTGCTGCTGTTCGCTTATGTACACAACTGTTATTATATTTTTAAAAAAATCAGATTATTGCACAAGTTTAACATTGCACATGCCTGTTGTTTTTCCATATATACAATGATCTGATTTCAGTTAGAGAATTGCATAAATTTTGATCCATTAAGTTCAATCACTTACAAAGTACAACTTCATCGAATGTGAATTTTTGCATTATGGATACTTCCATGTTATCCACCCAGCGATGAGAAGAATCACTGGGCAAAGCGCTATGACGCCAAAGTAGGCGACCTAGAATATATCAAACATGTATTTTATTTGGCAACCTGATAATGGTTGCTTGCACACTATGCTAGCACTTAATGGCACTATTTTGAAATTTGTATAAAGCAAATGATTGAATTATATGAAAATATACTGTTAGATTGCCAGCAAAGTGTTTGAATGTTAGTAGGAAATTTATTTGAGAACATCATTGGGGCAGCAGTTCACTTTATTTATTGCTTGCCAGAATGTACATCTGGTTAAGTTTTGTAATTCTTTTGTTTCTTAGCATATCTCTGAGTACAGCTATGGGAAATATTCATGTCTAAATATGGAAAAAGAATGAAAAAAAAAAAAAAAAAAAAAAAAAAAAATTGGTTATACTGAACAAAAGCAATTTTCTTATTATTTTTAAAGTTAAAACAGATTGAGGGCAGTCTATATTTTAGGGTGCCTCTTAGATTATCACCAAGTTGTTTATTTATCGCCAAATTGTCGTTTCATTTATGGTAATCCGAGTAGTTGAATGTTGCGCGATTGTGGTAAATTTGACTGTTGGGAGAATGTTTGTAAGGGCATATTTCTGCATTGAATGTCAGTTAGGAATTACGTTGCTGGCTAATCTTTGGAATATGGTAACAGGTAGTTTGGCGACATTTTGGTAAGGCGATAAGGTTACTAGGTAGGACTTTAGCAATAATCTGAGAAGTACACAGTTCGAATCACAGATTATTTTGTCTCGGAGAAATGAGAGATCATGAGACATGTCATGTGACACTTTCCAGAAAATTCCGATCGTGATTTTAGCTAATAAGCACTCAGAAACGATTTCGCTGCTAAAGTGCAGAATCACCCACATATTTGTTTGGCGTTTTTTACAATAAGAAGAATTGGATTTTTGTCAATTTTCTTTGACTTTTTAAGTCAAAATAGTTCGATGTGTACATGGATAAAGTGAAGCGTGTGCGCAGTGCCATTTTTATGCACTTCTGGGATGTTTTTTTAAGAGAAAATAGGTCGACGTGTACATGGATACCGAGTATGTGCAATTCTTAAAAACGCACGAAGCAGTGGGCGATTCTGCACTTTCTCCCAATCTTGCAACTAATCTTCGTCATGATTAAGCACTTTTGTTCCATAAAAGTTCTAGCATAAGCGTAATTCGGCTAGCAGATTGTTGGAAAAAATGTTGAGTTAAAAAAAAAAAAAAATGCCTTTACTTCGTGAAAACAAAATGGCATCCCCCCAAAAAAACTAGTGAGTTGCTGTAGCAGGGTTGGTTGCCAAATTTTCGCCAAAAAATTACCAAGTTACCATAATCCAAAGATTCACCATGTTGCTTATTTTGTGCTGTTCACTGTAAAATGGCTGTATGTGATGAGATTACTCTGAAGTTTCTGTACGATTTGGAATGAAAGGCGAAAAAAACACATTAATTGACCCGTGCATAAATGAAGGTTTACTTAATAGTCACTATAAGTGTCCTGTTTGTATGAAGGAAATGCGTATGGTCGAACGTAAAGATCATTCAGATGGCTTTGAATGAGTTTGTCGCAAGAAAGGTTCATGCACAAAATGCCACCAACAGTCCGACACTGCAGAGGATATTTTTTACTCTTATTTTTGTGAGTTTATGGGGTGATGGCAGTATGCATATTCTAGTTCAGATAATTTTAGAAAGTTTTTGGATTCTGCTAAAGAATTTTGTTTACTACAGACTGAAGACAGAGAAATTTCTAAATATGGTAAGTCGATGTTTCCTTTTTGTAGTGCATATATGCGGTAACACATATTTCCTTTTTTATGGTAATTTATTGTGTGATTTAAAATGCAGTTTGCTGAGCTTTGATTGGCTACAATTTTGTTTTCAGTTTTGATGAGTAACTTTGTTTTAACATTATATCACGCCATCATTCTATTGATTTTATTAGGTGAAAATAGGTTGGGTACAACTCTGATATACGCCCTAATTTCACCAAATGTGGCGATATGTGTTCTGCACTAGTTTTTGGTGCTATTGCATGTTTTGTATGGCAACCCTGTTGACGTTGAAGAATCTTTCACTGGAGTTCGTTGGTTCGCGTCGTGCTCTATGTCTGAGAAGCTAAAATGGTAGAATTTGTTGAATTGAAGTTCGGCAAAAGGAAATATCGTCGTGGCCATTCTGTTGAGGGGCAGTGGGTATTTGGAGGTGTGGAAAGAACGTCTGGGAGATTATTTTTAGTGGCTGTGCATGATAGAAGTAGGGATTTGTGATTATTTGTTATTTTATTTTATTTGTGAACTAAAGTATGGATTTTCTGGATAGTGTGTCTGGGTGTCATATAAATCCAATAGTGACTACATGGCGGCATGTTAAAGGCGGTATGAAATTGGTATTTCTGCTGTTAGAAAAAGCATTGATTCATGGTTAATGCATTTTATTTTATTCTTGTTCTTATTTTGTAGAATGTTATGTTCATTATTTTTGTAGTATGAATTTCTGTCATTATTGTTTTTTTTTAATTGTTTGAAATTTATTTTAGTTATTTTGTTGATTAGTGCGTATCGTCTAAATTGTGCAATTCGTAGATTTTTGTTTAAGTTGAAAACGCTGTGTACATGGTATTTTTGAATTTTGTTGTTATGTTAATTTTTAAAGTGAGGGTGCGTAGTTTGTAAATTCGTTTGTTGCCTTTGCAATTCGTTGTTTTTTAAGTTGAAACAGGACGCTGGTACATGGTATTCTTTGAAATTTTTGTTATGTTAATTTATTTAAACGTGAGGTGTGCATAGTTTGTAATTATTTTGTTGCCTAACAATGTGCAATTCGTAGATGTTTTTTTAAGTTGAAACGGACGCTGTATACATGCTATTCTTTGAAATTTATTGTTATGTTAATTTATTAAAACGAGGTGTGCATCGTTCGTAGATTCGTTCGTTGCCTAGATTGTGCCATTCGTAGATGTTTTTTGAAGATAAAACATATCGCTGTGTACATGGATTCTTGTCAAATAATTTTGGTTAGAAACTTTACGGTTTTGCTATCTAAAGTTTTTGTTTTTGTTTCGGATTTTCAGCTTAAATTGTGTGTTCAAAACGGTTTTGCATTCATGAAAACCGTGTTTTGGAGACATTTTAGGCTTAAAGTTCGAAATGTAGACAAAAAATTTAGATAGCAATATGGCAGCGTGGAGCTTCTCGCCAAACATTTTTGGCGAGAAATTTGGTGACTTGAGGGCGCATATCAGAGTAGTTCCATAGGTTGATGTGTCAAGTCAAGGGAATGCACAATGCTGAATTTGTGCAATTCTACAATGTTTAAGTGAAAAATAGATCAGTGTGTACATTTACACCGAGTTTGCGCAATTCTTTGACTTGTTATTTTGGTTTTGTGTAGCGGCCATCTTGAAATTGTGCTTTGCTGGCCAATCGTCAATTTTCGACAAGGGGGACCCTAAAAAATATTTTTACCATATTGATTTGTACTTGGATAGTGATGCTTTGATATTTTTTAAGTTAAAGCAGGTCACTGTACACACGGACCAAGAAAATAGAAAGTTAAGTGTTTTATTGTGGATGTTTGTTGCATTTTACTGTTTTATAAAATCTTGAGTGTTTTGTTATGGGTGTTTATTTTATGTAATTTTTACTGTTATGTTATGGATGTTAAATTTGTTAATTTATTGCTGTTTTATATAATTTTTAGTGTGCTACCATTTTTTAAAAATGGATGTTTTTCATATGTTAGATTGGTGGAAAGTAGTCGCCAACAATTGGTGACTTTGTAAGAGTGGAGTGGATAACATGGAAAGTACTGCATTCTGTACTGTTTGGCAATATACAATATTTCTAAAGAAATTCAAGGCTCCCCCCCCCAAACAACCAGCAAACTCTACAGTCCCTTTGCAGTTCCTTCTAGGAAAAAGCATTCAGTACAACGAAAACAGGCACTAATGAGTATCGAATTTGAAGGTGTAAATCTGCACATCTGCATACTTGGGTTGCCTCATACATTTTGGCTACATATATTAATAAAGTAATTAAATAAAGTAATGTAAAATGTACTATCTATTAGAATATATGCTCTCTCATATCTATGAAAAATAATAAAACAGGCACTTATGAACCTCAAAATTGAAGGTGAAAATTAGCGTGTGTTTGTGCAATCCTCAGTTGTTACATAAATATGTTTTGGCGATGTCATGGTTTGCCTATTTTGGTGACATAGTGAATTGTTTCATGAATAATTTTCAGGGAAATGGCTATAATAAAAAAGTACCCATTATTAAATAAAGTAACACAAATTATATTATATACCAGAGTGTGTGGTCTCTCCTACCCATGAAAGTAAACAGATTCTGATATTTTAGTTTCATCCAGTAAAGATGAGTGAAAATGAAGAAATGCAGTTCTTGTAAAGGACAGCCTAACATACTGTTTCAACGACTGGTAGCAATAATACCTGACTTTCTTACCTCTAAGCTCACTATTTATTTCCAGCCACTTTTAGCATCACCAGTCTTACATTTTGTAGCTCTCAGCTGTGTTAAGTAAATGTGAACCTAAAGAGAAGGAGAGCTGCAATGATATGTTATTTAATGGAAATAGTGTGAGTACTAGAAGCCAGAATGAAAGAAAATTTGAAAAGAAGTATAGATACAGAAATAAATAAACCATGCACTCTTTGATCATTGAATTTTCATATCAATATCTTTATGATTATCAAGTTGAGGTGTGAGCTCAGAATTTGAGGGGTTTCTCCTGAAGTGAGAATACACATAGCTCTGCTATGATCCTTTCCATTTGTCTTATTTAGTTATAACTAAACTAATTTCAGTGGTGCAACAGCCCTTAGAGAGGCATGCCTGCAGTGCCTTGATATTTGGTTTCTTGACTGTGGACCGCAGGGTGGATGACCATATGCTCTGGACAAGTGGTCAGCTTGTTACAGGACCCACCAGTGTTTAGTCCCCTAATAAATTTGGTACTCATTTTATCATCCCACTCAAGGGATGAAAGGCTTGCCGAACTTGAGTCAACCTTGCCGAACATGGGGATCGAACTCCGGACCTGTGAGGTATCATGTTTTAGCCATACTATGATCAGCTGTCACTTTCTTTACATTTTAAACATAAAGACTTATAAAACTCATGTCAGTTTTATTCATTTGCATATCTGAACTGTGGATACTGATTCAGCAGATATGGAAGCATGAATTTATTATTTAGAAAAAATGTAGCTGTTGAAAAGGTTTATGTGTTTTATAAAGATATCTCGAATGTTAATGTGTGCATAGTAGAATACATTTCCTTATTTTTACTTTAAAATTATTTTAGTTATTTTAATACTCATATTTAAATTAGCAGTATGGCACATTTCAGTACATAATCTTATTATTTTCATAGAGTTACTCATGATGTAGGGGCTGTTGCAGACCTCCGCCGAATCAAGAGTGCAATATCTGTTGCTAGAAAAGTATTAGAGAATACAGAACATTCCTTATTGGTTGGTGACCAAGGTAATTGACCATGACATTTTCAGTCTTTTTAAAGTTGGTAATTTAGACTCTTAAAAGTTTTTCCAGGTTAATATATTGTGTCATACTGAAATTTATTGTCAAAAAAGTATGTTAAGGAAGACGTAATAAGATGTTTATTAACAAGTGCAAGGACTAAAGTGTGTTATCTTAAAAAAAGGAGGGGGAGGTGAAAAAGGTTAATTAATAATTAATTATTCTTTCATACTTTTCAGTTAGGAGGGATAAGATATTTTCTCAAAACATGGGCTAGCAGTTTCATTATCTGCATTAGGTTGCTTTTGTTTTCATCCATCTACATTATAAAAGTTAAAGGCTAAAATACTTATTTCTGTAGAAAAGGTTTATTCAAAGCTAATAATTTAAAATTTGCTGATGTGCACTCAAAAAGTAATGTGCTGAAATGAGTTTTCAGTGATTTTTTTATGTTGTGATTGAATACTTATGGTTATTATCACTGAATACCAAAGTTTTGTGATAGCTGAATAATTATGAGCTTGGTATTTTAGAATAGTGTTGATTAAAATTTAATGGATTTTTTAATTTTTTTTTATTTTTGGTACTTTATTTAGTTATCTGATTTTATTATGATATTTTTTGTAATGAATTTGCCCTATAAAATATTTGTGAAAGTATAATATATTTAATTTCAAATTAAGTCTTTATTGATATAAAAAGCATCCTCAAATAAAACTATAGAATATTTATAATAAGTCTGAAAATCATATTTTCATGCAATAAACTAAGTGTGCGGTTAAAAATCATTTTCATCTATTAGTTATGCAAAGTTAAAGGCAAGCTCAGCACACTTCTTTTCTTAATCTGTTTAGCAACACAGTTTGCACTGAGTATGGGATTCAAAGAAGAAAATTTAAGTACTCCATTTTCAATTCAGCTTTGGAAAAACTGGAAGATGGATAAATGCCAGCCAAATTTTTGGAGGGTATTCATTTTTGTTGCTCCTTTTTTTAAATCATGGCTTTTGTAAAAAGTAAGAATAATTTGTAATTAGTAGTAGTTAATCATTGTTACGACTTAATTTTTGTTAGTTTTCCCATGCATTGTACTGATGTGTTTGCCTCTTGTTCTAAGTGATAAACATAACATTAAAAAAAAAAAAAAAAAAAAAAAAAAAACAGTTATAAAGCACATTTGAATTTCAGAATGGATGTACATTGTTTGTAAAGTTAGTTTCCAGTGTTTTAAAATTTTCTAACCGCATAAATTATTTAATTTTGACTGGAGAAATCAGTTTTAAAACAAAACTGAAAGCAAAATGAAGCAAATCTACATTTTAAAAACTCAGAATAATTGTTGGTGAGTTTCTCAAATTATCTAAATATATATTTAACTTGTGGAATGCAGTTGATGCAGTAGTCATAAGAGTCGATAAAATCATTCAGAAAGAAAGTAAATCCATATAAAAGGGTTTGGAGAACTGCTTGTCATGAAATAAACTCCAGCATTCGTATTTAGTATGTAAAATTTATAAGAGGAAGAATAATGTTAATGGAAAATACTCAAAACTGACTTTAACGGATTAGAAAGTCATATTGTCTGCATATTTCAAGTTTCAGTTTTGAGCCCACCAGCGGCCGAGCGGTTAAGTCGCTGAACACTGGTAGTTTGGTCCGAGGTTCGAATCCCGCGAACGGGCTAGCTGCATGGGTGTTTTCATGGTTTTCCCCATGTGTAACGTATATATGAGCCAGTTACCCTTAGAAAGTCCTCCACGAAGGCATCCCTTCCCTTAGGCTGATAGCCCGTGAGGCTTTGCCATAATCACACACCACACCACCACAAGTTTCAGTTTTAAAAGAAAGAGATATTCTTAAATCACTATTATTAATTTGTTCTTGAATTCAGAATTTGTGTATGGAATTCCGAATAATATCGAAGACATAACAATTTACTTTAGGGATGAAGATTTACTGTTTTTCTGATTTATTTAGCACAGTGGATGTTAGCCTTTTTACCCCCATACTCCTTTTGCTAGATTATTTGGATTTACATTATTTTCTAACATGTTATATTAAACAGTATAGAAAATACTGAAAATGCCAAAACCTGAACAAAAGTAGTTTTTTTTTTTTATATTCGTAAACTAAAACAAAATTCTTAATAGCTAAATAAAAGCTAAACGTACTCTTGCTTGAAATTTACAAAATTCTCCATAGGGGGAATTCCTGGCCCTGCTTGAGAACCCCTGCCCTAGCATGTATGTTGCAGTAGTTCTTATGGGGAAACTATGTATTTTATGTTATCAAAAAACGTTTTCATTGAAACTGTTTTTAACTGCTTTTTCTGTGAATTTAGAGTATTCGTTATAACTCAGCATCATTCAAAAGGTAAGTGTTATGGAAGAAGTTATCTGTCAGTTGAGCATTAAAGTAGCAGTAAAAAAGCTATATTCTGTCCAGCTCCAGTTTGAGTAGCTGCTGGAATTTTTAAGTTTCAAAGAATTATTTTGTTTGGCTAGAAGAGATTGGCACTTGTTTGTTATCCGTGTTATATCATCAAATATATCAGCTGTCATTCTTGTGAGCAGCCCTTGAAACTGCTCCGGATTCTCCTATAAAGGTGAGATTCCCACCCCCCCCCCCCACTTTGTGTGACTGCTTTCTTTTGTGGGCTAAGACAAAATAAAGATTTTCTTTTTTAAAATTTCATTGTCAAAATTGGTTTAGAAATGGGCATCCATGCGAAACAGTGGAATGCATGGAATCCATATGGCGATCAACAAAATGAAGAATAACCACCAATGTTGTAAACATTATCACCACTTGTTTTCTTACTTGTCAGAGTTCATATGAAGACAAATACAAGCTGCAGAGAATACATCTGTCTATTTAATGCCATTTCAAATGCAGCTACCAAACAATACCTCCTAAAAATCAAAAAGCTGGATTTCATTGCCAAAAATTGCAAATAGCTTGGTGTGTGTCATTGCATGTCAAATGATCAACAAGTACTAAAAAGTCTCATTCTTTGAGAATGTACATTTTGTTGAATTTTAAAAGAATACAGTATTAAAAGGATTTTCAACCTTGATACCATATCTCAAGTTCTTAAAAATTTACAATCCACTTTCCAAAATAATGGAGACATTTAGCTAAGCATAAACCACATGAGTTTTATACCGTAAGCTTTAAAACATAGTAGAAAAGTATAGATATAAGCTTAGTCAAGGTTTGGGAAAGTTATTTTAAAAAACTTATTTCATGTAATTATGTGTTAGGGTGTTTCACAGTATATTTATTATTAGAAATGCTGGTACATATTAATATTTTTTAAATAAATGTGAACTTTTTGTTCTAAGTTAAAATATTTCTGTTTGCCAGTAAAGGGATTTGAAAATAATTCTATTTACAGTTTCATATTGCAGAAAGAAATATGTTGTGTCGGTAAAAGTCCTTACATGACCCTTGTTTCATAATCGTTGCTCATAGACTTGTACTTCTAATTATAGAAGCATTTAAATAAAGTACTTAAAAATACGTTAAAGTACTTAAAAATAACTTTAAAGCATTAAAGCAGATGTTTGTGCTATATAGCACAAAAAGTTTTCTGCTTGGGTGACAGAAATTGAAGAGTTTTTTTTAAATAGGTTTTTCAATGCCAGAAAATGAAACTTATCACTCTGCTTAAAAGGTTGACTAAAAAATTTAAATAGGATAACTTAAAGTTGATATTTTTTCCATTTAATAACATACAGAGATATTCTTTTGGGGTTTACTGTTGTGTAACATTCTTTAATTTGCAGTTTTGTTACATTTGGTATGTTGAAGCTATTTTCACAGAAGTATAATAAGTTTTCTAAATCATGTTTTTATGTGAGATAAATGAAATTCAAAAGCTTTGTATTTGACTTTTACAAAATACAGCTATAGGAATTAGGGAGGCCATATAAAAGTTACATTTCATAATTTTTACTAATTTGATTGTATAAATTAAAAAATGCCAAAACATGAATACCTGCCTTATTAAAAATATTTTTCTATGTGGAAGTATATATCTATGGTCACTCATTGTGGAAATAAAGACTGTGTAAGGATTTTTATAAATATGTGTATAAACCAAAACAGCTGTATGTGTTTTCAACACATATTTTTGTAATTTTGGAAAATACAGTGACAAGTACAGAACATCAACTCCCTGATGCTCCTGTTTTCAGAGCCACAAAATATAGTTCTGCCAGGGGCAAAGTGGATAAGAGCACTGAATGGCAATAGTTTGTCTTGAGTTCAAATCCTGATACAAGAGCTAGCTGCAGAAGCGCTTTTCCTCTGTATACATAAATGCAAGTTTGTTTAGAAGGTCTTCATTCATGTTTAGAAAAGCATTCCTTTCCTTAGGTAAATAAGCTCCATGTGCTTTGCTATAATCTTTCGAACAAAGCAAATAAATCCATAAAATAACAATTTTATCTGGGTGTTGAGTATGTTAGACATGTGTTATATCTAACTTGGACAGTAAAAATGCTTAATCATATGTTATGGTCTGCAGAGCATTTAACCCTCTCAGCTTTATGGATGGAAAATTCTGTACAGAAGGCTGGCTTTCTTATTCATTACACATGAAGATTTCTGCCACGTTTCAATGTATCTGATTTCAATTTGGATGTATACTGGAGGAAAAGAAATCAAGGTACAAAGGGAAAGAATAATTTTTTTTTTTAATATAATTAAGAAAATATAATTTATTCATGACATTCTGAGGAACTTTGAAATTTCAGGGCTAAACCTGTAACACTCAGAGGGTTAAAATTTTGTAGTCTTAAAAATTATAGATAGAAATTTTATCTAATGTATAAAATTAATAACTGTCACATTTCATTGTAAATATCAAAATAAAGGTATTAAATCTAACTCGGAGGAAATGTTTACACCTGACTATAACTAGAATTTATTTAGTAATAGTAACATTTGTACTCAGACTACTAAAGATTACTACATTATCTGTTAACAGTCTTCCTAGATTGACGAAAATTTATATTCTTCATTTGGTACTTTTTTATTATCAGGGCTGGATTCAGAAGTGTATGTATGTTTGCACATATGTATATACATACATGCATACATGAACACATACATACATTTCTGGACCCAGTCCTGATAACAGATGCAGTTTGTCTATCATAAGAAAAGTTCTCGGCAGTTAGTCTGCAGCTGTCTGTTGCCGTAGAAACGAGCCTTGATCCATTTTCCGTAGGGGTGTCTTGAAGACGAATGATAAACTCTTTCCCCCCAGCCAATAGTCGCCAAAAACAAATAACAATAAAACAACTCTTGGTTCGCCCCTATTTAAAATGTACTAGCCAAATGCCACCCGCCAGACACTGTGGCGCGGTCTTTTCTTCTCGTAGACAGACAGTACCCTTTATTGTAAACCGTTGTGCACAATGTAGGTAATTTGTCAGAAAGGTCAATAACAATTTCAAATACTTTTTCCTTGGTAAATGTTAAAAATTGTTAATATTTAATACATAAGTTTAGAAGATTTTGTATTAATATTCTAAGTTTTATTTTTACCTTTAACAGTTTTATAAGTTGTAAGCCTTTTTTGAGTAAAGTTGTCAATTTTATTTCAAATTCAAATGGAAATCTTTTTTTTTTCTATTGTATTTCTCAGCACAGTTGCAGTGATACACATGCATTTTTCATAGAGTGCTGTATGTTTATGATGGAATGCTAACATACGTTTTCTTTGCAATTAGAAGCACTTTTTAAAAATTGCGCAATTTCACGGCACTATTCTGTTATCGGGACCGGAGTCATTGGCAAAAGTTTTGCTAAATTCCCCGAGAGATTGGTTCATATGAACACCTCAATGTATACTTCTGAAGTCGTTACAATGTTAAACTTTTTTTAAAAAAAGTGAAAGAATGCCCTTTCAAATTGGCAATGGGAATACAATTTCCAAAGATGTAATGGTCACTTGTGTTATTATTACTGTACTTAACACAGATTTGAAATTTGGACTTGCCTTTTACCTCTTTTGTACAATTTCTTCAGGAATGAGGAATATTCAGTATGAAAAAGTGCACGAAAAACCATAAAATATTTTTTTTTTAGTCCAAAGGGACTTTGTCCCTGAAGGACTGTTGTTTTCGTTTTGCGATTTTGCGTTGAATTACTATAAATGTCCGTTCACTTTTCAAACTGTTGCCACCAAATGTTAGTCTCCTGCATTATGTTTGAGGAAATTAAATAATGCAAAATCTGCATAAATGTATGTACATTTTTTGCATTGTGATAAAACAACGGTACATAGAACCATCAAATTTTGAATAACGTTATCCTTCTACAAATCTGGGCATGTGGAAGATCAAATTTGAAATTTGGAATTTGTTTTATGTTTGATTTAATATTTTGTAAAACTTTAACTAATTTTTGAGTAACAAACTCAACAATTTAAAACGAGCAATGGCAACACTGTACGGGGAAAGCAAAACCTTTTTATCTCCAGCATGCGGAACTGTGTATCGGAAATCCTAAAGGTATGCTCATTTTAAAATTATTTTGCAACATTGCTATTGAACTGAATTTTGTGGTTTAAGTGCAAAGAACGTGATATGCAATAAATAAAGGTAACACACAAAACGTAAAAAAAAGCCCTTTTGGACGTAATTTAAAATCTGAACCCTTTCAGTCCCCCCCCCCCCGATTTCTTTGGCAAGTTGTTTCATTTATATTAAAAGTTCCTAATTTTTGGAATATTTGTTGTTATTTCTTCCCATAGGTTTTTTTTCATCTTAACTCTCTTGTAAATATTTTGGCGATTATTTTTATGCTTCAAATTTTTGGCTAGATCCTCAGCTTTTGGCAATATCTGAATATGGTCTCTATAACAGAACAGTACCAATTTCATATACACTGAAGTGACAAAAGTCATGGGATAGCAATATGCAAATATACAGATGGCAGTAGTATTGTGTAGAAAATGTATAAATGCGAAGTGCTTTAGCAGGGCTTTCATTTGTGTTCAAGTTATTCATGTGAAGAGGCTTTGACGTGATTATGACCGCAGGACAAGAATTGACAGACTTTTGAACGCGGAATGGTAGTTGGAGTTAGACCCATGGGTCATTCCATTTCGGATATCATTAGGGAATTCAACATTCCGAGATCCACAGTGTCAAGAGTGTGCCAAGAGTATCTAATTTCAGGCATAACATCCCACCATGGACAGCGCAGTGGCCGACCACCTGCACTTAACGACCGAGACCAGCGACGTCTGCGTAGAGTTGTCAATGTTCACAGACAAGCAACACTGCGTCAAATAACCGCAGAAATCAATGTGGGACGTACGAGGGACGTGTCCGATAGGACAGTGTGGCGAAATTCGTCTTCCTTGGGCTATGCCAACAGAAGACCGACTCGAGTGCCTTTACTGACAGCACAACATCGCCTGCAGCGACTCTTGTGGGCTCGTGAGCATATCGGTTGGTCCCTAAACGAATGGAAAACTGTGGCTTGGTCAGATGAGTCATGATTTCAGTTCGTAAGAGCTGATGGTAGGGTTCGAGTGTAGTGCAGACTCCACGAAGCCATGGACCCAAGTTGTCAACAAGGCACTGTTCAAGCTGGTGGTGGTTCCATAATGGTCTGGGCTGTTTTTACATGGCATGGACTCGGTCCTCTGGTGCAACAGAACCGATCATTGACTAGAAATGGATACCTTGAGCTACTTGGAGATCACTTACAGCCATTCATGGACTTCACGTACTCAAACAACGATGGGATTTTTATGGATGACAATGCGCCATGTCACCGGGCCACAATTGTTCGCGATTGGTTAGAAGAACATTCTGGACAATTCCAGCGAATGATCTGACCACCTAGATCGCCCAACTTGAATCCCATCGAACATTTATGGGACGTCATCGAGAGGTCAGTTCGTGTCGAAAATCCTGCACCGTCAACACTTTCACAATTATGGACGTCTATAAAGGCAGCATGGCTCAATATTCCTGCAGGGGACTTCCAACGACTTGTTGAGTCCATGCCACGTCGAGTTGCTGCACTTCTCCGGGCAAAAGGAGGACCGACAAAATATTAGGAGGTATCCCATGACTTTTGTCACTTCAGTGTATATTGAAAATGCACATTTATCTGAATACCATGAAGCAGAGCAGTGTTGTTTTATCCCCTGTAGGCAGATATCTTAAATCTTTAAATGGCTGTAGTAATTATTTTTTTTTTTTCATATTTTATTATTGGTTGGTAATTCTTACTCAATTCAAAGAATCCTTACCACATTAAATAATAATTCTTTTTTACTAAGTTTCATGAAGGAATTTTTTTTTTCCACTTAAGATAACAAAATAACAAATCTTTCAGGCAGAATGTAAGGTATGATATTGAATTTATTAGTATAAATAATCTCATGCAGCAAACTAAAATACATTGTATTTTGAAATGTGGAATCATCACCACATTTGTGTGAAGGTTGTATTTATTAATAATATAGATGTAGCATTTTAATTCAATAATAAATCTAAAAAAATAGTAACATGAAAATTGGGCAGTCTTCTCAAACTATAATATTTACACAAAGGAAGTCGAAAAGTATGTGCTACTTAACATCATAAATATATTGAAAATAACAGCAGTAAGAAGGTATGCATTTTATTGTAAATCTGAAATTGGTTAATATATTTAAAGTTTGTAATTAACATTCTATGATTTAGACTGTGGGATACATGCTAAAATTCAGCCATTATTTTAAAAGCTTTTGATTCAGTGTTTTTGTGATTTGATTATATAGTATGTAATTATTATGCATGCTAAACTCATTTATTGTTATATATTTTGAGTATCAAAAGCTTTCAATAAAGAAATTTGCATTGTAGAATTGCATTTTATGTATTATATGTGTTGAATCACTTTTAAGTTTTTGAAAGTCACCAAATTTATTTCAGGGTTGTTTATTTTATATTTTAATAAATTATTATTTTATTACAGAATGTACATCCAGATCCTAAAGTATCATGTGGACCATATAAAGCATTAGGGAGAACCAGTGTTCAGTTAAAGTCAAATACTAATCATAGTCAGTCTAAATTCAGCATAAATAATCATGATACAATTGGAATGATAGCCATTGATAAAGATGGAAAAATTGCTGGAGGTACATCAAGTAATGGAGCAAAATTTAAAATTCCAGGGTGAGTTAAATGATAAATTTAAAGCAATATATAAATTTTTTTGTAAAACTTATGCAAGACAAAATCTGAAATCTAAACATCCAACATCTGAACTTTCAGACCAGCAACCAATAAATAAAATTATGTAAAAAGTTCTTCTCGTGCTCCGCATACAGAGTCTGGGAGTAATTAACCCCTTCCGGTACGATTTAATAATGAAAAAGTGTGCATGAAATAACCATTTAATTAACCATCGCACAATGAATGACGAGCTACACTCGTCATTTTACGGAAGGGGTTAATATAATACACAATAGAAGGTAGCAGGTATGCCGTAAATATGGTATTTCTCCTGACTAACTGAGATTACTACATGTCACTTTAAAACACCTGTTGGCTAGGGAATCAAACCATGACATTACATACATTGATGTTGGCCAAGGTCTCAATTTGGCTGTTGTGATTGTGTATGCTTGGGCGGGGGAAGGGGTTAGCATTTTTCTGTCTGACCTTAACAATAAGTGAAGCAGAAATCTAGAAATTTCCAAAATCCAGAATCACCAAAGTCTCGACGACACCAGATCTCAAGCTTTAATTTCTCAAAATAAGCTTATTTTCTTTAGATATTAAGTGAAATTTGTTTTACTAAAATAGAATGTAATGTCTTCATCTGGCATATTTATATATATATGTGTAAGATAAAAAATATAAAAGCAACTTATAAGTATTACTTATAAATGTGAAAATTGTTGTAAATTTTAAGATTTATGATCATCTGTAATAATTTTTTAGTATATAAAATCTTTATAATTGTGATCCGGTGTGGAGAAAAATTTTGGAAATCCTTCCCTGGAGTATCAAAATTGTGATGTGAATGTTCGAAACAACAATAACTTTTTATAGATTAGACTCAAATCTTCATAAGGACTTATGATTAATTTATTTTTAACTTATTATGTGCTCCACCCATAGGCACTACACGGAAAAAGGGAGGGATCCCCAGTGGAGGTCTTTTTAAGGGAAACTGGCTCATATCCACGTTACACATGGAGAAAACCATGAAAACGCCCATGCAGCCAGCCCGTTCACCGGGACTCGAACCCCGGATCAAACTACCAGTGTTCAGCAGCTTTTACCACTCGGCCGCTGGTGGGCCTAAAAATTATTATTGGACTCAAAATTTTGCGTACTATAGGTTTATTGTTCAAAAGCTAATATTATATTTTGTATGTTTCAAAATTATATTTCTCATATTTTTGCTACTCTAATGCTTTTTTTCTCAAACAGGCTTCTCTATCGCTTCACCTTTTTCTTTTGAAAGGGGGGAATGTCTGAGATAAAAAACATGAAAGCAACTTCTAAGTTTAATTCACTATAACCTTTTTTATTTTCTATTTCATTTGGAAACTTTATCTATTTGTCCTAAAAATAGCGCTTAAGTCTAAATTGCGTCATTCAAATTAATCATGCGATTTTATGTAACCCTTAATGCAGATGCTTAATGCGATTTTATGTAACCCTTAATGCAGATGCAGAAAAGTTTTGGTTTGCAATCACCAAAATTGCAAACCAAAACTTTTCTCTTCGCATTCTCCCATCTTGCATAACTACACACTTCAGCTTTGCTTCTGTACTGTGCTAAGATGTAATTTCACTGGCTTGCTTTCTATCTCAACAATATAAAAAATGTAAATCTTCTGTGGAAAGGCTCGACTAGAGTGCCAAGTGATTGTGGCCACAAATGTCAATTGGAAATAAAAATGGAATTAAAATCGCCTCGACTACCCAGTTCTTCAGATACTACGCAATCAGAATTCTTCTTCAATATGGATATAAGCATGCATCAACTCTGCTCCGGCTTTTCCTTGTGCTCTTATATTCATATATATATATATGTAAAAATATATATCTATATAAAGAATATAAAAATTAGAATTAAAAAAATTTTTTTTAAACCCGTCCTGTGCTCTCATGGTGGAATTTCAGAAGGAAACTGGATCTTATTCATGTTATACATGGAGAAAACCTCAAAACTACCCATGCAGCCAGCCCTTTCATGTGGGATAGAACTTGGGCTAAACTCCCAGTATTCAGCTGTCATAACCACTCAACCAGTGGTGGGGCACTTTTGGGGAAGAGTAAGTGATTTAAAACGTTGCAACAAAATAGCATAATTTATTTTAAGCAGCTTTGCTTTTTGTCTCAGAACACAGTTAATAAGATTATTCATTAAAAAAAAAAACTGTAAATGTCTGTGCAAAATCTGTCATGCGAAGTTCATGTCATATTTTAAATAAGGATAAATTTAAGAAAACTTTGCAATTTGTTTTCTGTGTAAATGTTTTTAATATCTAATTAGCAATGATGCTTACAGTCTTGAATTAGGAAGTTTTACAACAAATTTAATATAAGTCTATCATATTCATCCCTTTCAGTACTGAATTGCCCAATGTTAGATATGTTGAGTCTTGTTAATTTAAAAAGCACCTGTTGAGGTGAATAAAAGATAAAATTGTTCATGCGAAATGTATTTCATTGTGCCTATTAAGTTGTCCTGGGAGTTTCTTTTGTTTTATTAATAAATAAATATTGAAAAATATTTTAATACTGAGCTATATAAGATGCATTCTCTTCTGTTTTCTTTCTTCCTTCCTTGTGAAAGCTGTCTAGTGCGATGTTTCTAAACTTTTTGCAGTTTGCCAGCAAAATATCATTCCCAGTGCATTTTTATGTAATTTAATTAGCTAAATCTTTGACTGTGAAAAGGGCTATTTAATGAGTTATAATGCAGTAATATATGATGATTAATTAGGGTAATATCCAGAGAGTATGGAAGAATGAGTTAGAACATTCAAGTCAAATATGGCAATAAACAAAGCCTCATCGGTTCATTATTGTTGTCTGTATTTTGCTGACTGCTTCTTTCACTTTGTCCAGTTTGAAATAGTGTTTTGTTAAACTGTTTCATCTTGTAGCAGTTCCCAATAGATAATATCCTTTCAGTCCCTCTTAACTAACATAATGTCCTCATTTGAATATCGAGTAATGCATGTCCATTAGCAAAACTTCAAATTTTTGTTGATGTTACATTATATTTGATATAAAATTTGGCATAATAGAAGAAAGACAGGCCTATTACATGAGCAGTCTTTGTAAGTCTGACATACATAAAAAAACTTCTGCCATCTTTTTAACAGATTTGAAAGCAGTAATATTGAATTGAATAGTCATGATATTTTTTAAACTGTGGTGCATCACTTGGTAATGCCGTTAAGTTTCTCATTGGTAACCTCAAAATCTGTTCATTTTTGTCCCCTGAAATGTCAATATAATGAGTATTTGTTCGTAAAATATCTCTAGCCTAGGAAAGTAAACTACCAGAAAAACTACCAATAGCCTACTTCAATTTGAAGTGATTTTTTCTCTACCTTTGTCATGTACTACCATTTGGTTTTATTGTAACAGCAAGTGTGAATAATTTTTGATATAGTTTATTTGGCATTTTCAATAATTTGGGTAGCTTATAATTCTGAAATGATTGATATTAAGGGTTTATAGCTTTAATTTGGGAGAAAAAAATAATATACTGAGTGTTTGGTTTAAACTTGAACTCTTCAAAGCTTAACCATTATGAAATGTAACTAATATTTATGAAACTTAACGTGCCTGCATCATTTGTTAGAATGACAGCTATTCATTGCAATGCACAATTATTTACACATTTCACCTTGTTTCTAACAGCCTTATTAAATTCTTCTTTATCTGTATTGTGGATGGCAGCAGCGATGATCATTTTTGTTTCTTTCAAAGCTTGTATGTTGTTTACGCATATGCTTCCTTTTAAACATCTTCTCAAATGTATGGATATTTGAAAAGATTTGAGAAGATGTTTAAATATTGGAGATTCTAGTTGTCTTAATCTTTAGACATTACTCTGTTGCCCATAAATTCTGGACAGTATTTTGAAAGCTATCAGCATCTGTGGTCATGTCGAAGAACAGAGGTCCTGTTATTCCTTACCATGATACAGCTTACAAGGCATCAGTTTTTGCAGGTACAAAGGAGACTTAAATAAAGAGATGGACATTTTTAGAGCTCTATGTGTGTGATAACTTTTGCTGTAGACAATCTTTAAAGGTTGGATCATACATCATCTATAAACAAAACTTGATTTAAAACGGAAATGCCACAAATGAAGCTGTTACAAAACAGCACGTGAGCAACAAATAATCCGACAAGTGTTAAGAAGCTCTTCCCCCACAAAAACACATTAGTTCCCTTATTTGTGTTTGAAGAATTCATCCCCCTACATCACACAAGTGGTATCTGCCAATGGTGATGTGACTAAAATTGCTTAACAATAGTTGTTCATTTGAGATTTTAATCCAGGCAAATAGGCTGGCTGCATGTTTTCTTGAAGGGGGGCTCTTCAAATGTAACGTGAATGTGAACCACTCCCCAGAAACTCTTCCGTAAGGTATTCCTCCCCTTAGACAAATGTCTGCTGTGTTTTGTCACAATCAGGTGAACAAGAATTGCATAAATGAAAGTGCAGTACTTTTTATTATATATGAACACATTCAGAGGATAGTAATGTTCTTTGTTTTCATTCAAAGTGAGTAATTTCCTATTTATTACTAAATAAGTATTTGAAGTAATTACATTTGTTGTCATTAGAAGGAGAAACGAAACTGTGAAAAATAGTTAAATGGCAATGAGTGGTTTATGAGTTAGTGCCATTTTAGTGAGAATGTAAATTTAGCATATCTATTGAAATATAGTTGAGACGTACTGATTAACTTTCCAGAATTTTACTTACTTTAAACCTCATTGCTTGCAGAAGAAAATATTTAAAGACAAACAGGATTTCATTTTATATCCTGGTTATCTCTAAGATGACCACTTCTTAAGATGAACAAAATCATATAGAACTGTGGACGTTCATCTCCAGGATGGTACACTGCAGTTTGAAAATGTAATGATAGCTTCTTTTGCGCCAAATAGTGTTATAGTTTGTACTTTATAAGTATTAACATAAGTTCCAAATTTAAATTTAAAATGCAGAAATTTTTATATCTGTTACATGTGGTTTTTCACATGTAGGGAATGAATTTCCTTTCATTCTAGCAAGTCTGAAACTAATAACTGTATATTATGTTATGTAATGTGTGTATATTTATGTGTATTTTTTGGAAATTGGAATTCTGGAATATTAGAAAGGTGTGTGTTGTTTTAGTATGCTTTTTTTTATAAATATTCTTCCCAAGTAAGATCTTTCATGTATTTAGTGATACAGTCAAATTTGTTGCTTATACAGGCGAGTTGGAGATTCACCTATACCTGGCTCTGGAGCTTATGTTGATCAAGAAATTGGTGGTGCTGCTGCAACTGGTGATGGTGATGTCATGATGCGCTTTTGCCCCAGGTTAGAAAACAATAGAACATGTTATATATATAATCATTAGAATCAATATGTGTAAAGTATACAAACTTGCAATGTTAGTTACAATAGTCTAGGTAAAAATCAGAGATTTGATATACCATTTATTAAATATTAAATGCCACTCTGTGTTATATGTCATATCAGCATGCATAAAATATGTAATTATCTTAGTATCTGCTATGAAATACTGCTTTATTATTGCTTTTATTTAATACTGTTAAGTATTTCAAAGCTTTTATGACAACATAATTCTTTAGCTCATTAAAAATTTTGTGCACTTTTTCTTGAAAAAGGCAATTTATGTGAAGCTATAAGCTACAAACTGGGTATGGTGTAATATTAAAAATGATTTATACAGAAAAAACAAATCTCGGTAAATTCTTCAGATTTCATTAAAATAGAAAAGAATTGTCATGGGCAGTATTCACTAGTTTAATATGAGAAAGAAAAAGTATTGACTTACCTGGGAAGCTCTGCAGTTTTTTGATAATAAATACAAATGAAGTAGTTTAAAAACATAAGAAAATTCTGTTGAATCTTATTGGCACCATTTTGTTCTATGACCTTTTGCCATCTCTTCAGCAGCTGAAAATTACTTTTTTTTTTTTTTTTTTTTTTTTTTTTTTAAAGCATTAGGTTAATTTATAAGGAAGCTGTTGAGGTTTTGTTTGACAGCCGACAAAAATTTGAACTCCAGGCCAATTTTGAAGTAACCTGAAAAGATGAAAATCTAAGGAGGCATCGTTATAGTGCTGTTATGCACAAACCAAGAAAATTTTTGTGGATTGTGATGCACAAAGAAATTTAGATACTGTTCTGTTATCAGAGCCAAGTTGAGAAATGTATGTATGTGTGTGGGGATGTATGTGTTCATGTATGCATATATATATATCTATATAAAATTGATTTACTAAAGTAAGATTGATTATATTTTCTCCTGAAATAAATTTAGTGGAATGTATCTAAATGAAGTAATCCAGAAGTATGAACTTTAATCCTGAAAATAATATTTTTAAAGGAACTTGAATTTAAATCATGAAAATTAGAAATGCAATCTTTTAATATGAAAATTAACCGCTTCCCTTACACATTTTTTTGAAAAAAATTGCAAAAAATCGTCAAATTTTTTTATTTTATTATTAAATACAAGGAAACGAAACAAAACAAAATATATAGGTTTTGAGTTGAATTTTTAATTTTTTACAGGTGTAAAAGCATTTAGTTTTAATATTAGTTTACTATTCCGAGTTATCTCGGGCAAATAAAAAAATTAAATATTAGTCATTGTATGAGAATTTTTGAAACAAGGGACAACACAAAGTGATGCCTGACATTCTATACGCTGGTAATCTGGTCTCTTTTCTTACTGGCTTACCTCTGGAATCCCTTTACGGGAACACAGAGAACACTGTCTGAATGGATTTGATTTTTTTTCAGTAGCAGGAATAACATCTGGAAAATGCGTTGAGATTATAATCACTATCTGAGAAATCTTGCATCATCGCCATTATTTTACTTTTTTCAATATAACTAACATTCTTTGTACATTACTAATTCACAAGCTGACGTATACTAGACAATAGGGAAAATGCTTGACCAGTCCCGCCAAAAGAACCACAAAACCAACAAAACTTGGCAAACTGCCAATAAAAGCTGAATATTTCTTTCCATTTCCTCCAGACCGAGTAAAACCGTGATAAAACAAATCTTACTGACAAATTCTGCTTTGTCCGAGTTTTCTCGGGATAATAATTAACTGCAATATATACGAACCCGGGATAACTCTGGATAATCAGCCAAGCGGTTAATAAACCATGTAATTATCGTCATTGATCAGAAATTGGTTGACTTTTAAAGGGGGACCAAACCAACTCCCGTTCAATTAACAATAATTAATAAATGCAAAGGTGTTTCATCTTTTACTCAAGTATACTCAGATCAGAATGATGATGCCAAACTGGCAATTTTAGATAAGGCCAAAATTTTAGTCCAATAATTCAGTTAGTGAGATTAAAGATTAAGTATTAAGATTAAGTAGTTTTGTTAAGTTAATGGATTTTTTAGAAATCTCGAGATATTATAGCCAAGTTAAGTAGAAAAAATGTTTTATTTTACTTGAGTAAAGTGTCCCCTGACACCCTCGCTTTCATGCATGTTAATTCAAAATTATTTTTATAAATACAATAAACAATATTTATGAAATAGAACTCAAAGTAATCATAATAAACATGAAAAGATAATAAACCATGCAATCTTTGCAAAATTAATGAAACGTAAGTTGAAAAAATGAGATACATAGATAAAAAAAGGTATAAGGTATATCTTACTTTCCACAAGTATTTTGAAATTTATTTCGATTTCAATGAATTTCAGTTCATTAATTCTCTCTCTCTCTCTCTCTATATATATATATGCATACATGTATACACATATACATTATGTACATATATACATGTACTGAATCTGGTCCTGATAATAGAAGAGTACCGAAATTTATTTGAAAATAAAACATATAAGGCTTTTCTACAAGAAGCATGAGATACCAGTAAAACAGTGAAATGAGATAATGTTATTTATAAAAATAGAACTATATTTTTTAAAGAAAACAATTGTCTCGATCAATGTATGATACCTATACTTCAGCAACCAGCAGGCGAACTAGCGATAAAAGAGATTATTGTCAATATGAGATGCCTTCTACCTGCCTTTTGGTGAGATTCATATGTAACTTGGTTTGGTCTGATGTTTAGTAGTGGCCATCTTTGTTATAGCTTTTCAGTGTAGGTGTGCCATTTGCTGTGTAGTCTTTATACTGTGGTCATAGGGAGCATTCTTACTGCATAAAACGAAAAGGAAATGCAAGTTTAATTACAGTTTTAACTAGCTATTGGCGCTGATAATTTTAAGATTGTAATTTCGTGTAATCAGAAAGTTCCGAGATTTCTCGAATTGTACATGATCACTTGAAGAAAATTGGATATTTAAGCTGCTACAGAGTATGGATACCCCATAGTTTAACAGAGCAGAATATGGTTGCTTGAATTTCAGCATGTAATTCTTTGCTGAAATGAAATTAGGAAGCTCATTTTTTTAAATCGTTTATTAATGGAGAGAAGAAATGGATGCTCTACAGTCATGTTGCAAGAAAAAGATAATCAGGTGAGCCAAATGAACCTTCTTTAGTAGCATTGTAACCAAAAGAAGTAATGCTTTGTGTGTGTTAGGATTACAAAGAATAATGTATTATAATTTGTTTCTATCAAATCAGAAGATAAATTCAGAAAAATACTGTTCCAAAATGGCAGTTTTAAAACCAGAAATTGAAGCAAAGTGCCCAGAACTGACCATTTATTGAAGTGTTTTCTTCGAACATGACAATGCTTAGCCCCACATTTCAGAGATTGGCAGATGAAGACTTATATTATTTATTTAGAAGTCAAACAACAAAAATCAGCGTTATATTTTCAAATTTTCACAGGACTAGTTTTGATGGATTTACCGAACCATCATCCTCGAATAATGGTTTGAGCAAAATTTACGACAAATTCTGTTTTTAATGCACATTTTTTGTATATTGAAGCTGAGATGTGTGAAGGTCATTTTTATTCCTTCTTTCTACCCTTCCCCACATCATGAAATGTGCAAGCAGGAAGTCATTTGACTTTTCTTTATTTTTGGGGGGCTTTTGTGCTACATGGCAGCTTTTTCATAAAAGTTACAACACACACGTTTCGTGGTTGAAAATTCGGAAAGTATTTTTTTCTCAAATATTTTGTAATTTTGTGTTATTAATTGCCGAGTATTACTTTAATTTTCATACATTTGACTCTGTCATTTTTATATCGGTTTGCATGGTTAAAAAAAAAAAAAATGTCCAACCAGCTGATTTTGCTTGCATTCTTCAAGAATTATTTCATGAGGAAAAGGAAGAAAATGAAACTTTTGAATGGGAGAACAATAGCGATTTCCATTCCTTATTTTCTTTTATTTCTATTTTTTAGAAATAAATAAAAATATTAAAGGTAGTTTAAAGTACGTTTTTTGTAATCAGTAAGAAGTAAATTTCCTTGCAGAAGTAAGTAATGCTAACTTACTTTTTTTTCCTACCAAGATGAGTGGTGTTTCCTTTTTTATTTGTCTATATTTGCCTTTGATGATATTAAAATTAGCTTCGGTTTTAAAATATAATATTAAATAATAATTAAATTTTTTGTATAATGAAATACATCATTGCGTTTCCATCTCACTAACATAAGAACTTAAAAATAATTTACTTACATTTTGAATGCAATATCATTTGTATTTTGCAATAATAAGGTTAATATTTTATTTCTTAACAAATTTATTCAGTAAAATAACAGATGTCATAAAAAATATGACGCGTGCATGCTCATGTAAAATTGCCAAGCGCGCATGGTGGAAGGTTAATTTGCCTGAAATCAGCTCCTCTTTGTTACTTCAAGAAACTTGGAAAATAAGAAACTTTAAATACAGTTTCATGACTGTTACCGTCATTTTCAAAATTGTGGTAAAAAATAAGTGTTTGTCCATGGCAGTATGAATTCAGTATTGATGTAATGTAATAAACTAAACTTGCTTCTAGTTTTACTTCATTATCTTTCTGTACTCCAGATAATTTTTCTGTGTCTTGGAAATTTATTCCTGAACATTCGTTCATACATGTTATTGTAATAAATAGTTCATAGTAAATGCATGTTTTATTATATAACATGAAATATTTTTGGAATGGCTTTGTTATATACCATTCATCCCTTTGTTTTTAATATTTCCAGATAATATTAATAAATGTCTGATTTAGACTCATATTTTTGTGCTTGTTCTTTTTTCAGTTGATATTTAAGTTACATAAAGATGAAAATGTAAAGTATAAGATAATTTTATGTGTATTTTACAGAACTGTGATAATATTTCCCCCTGAGATATTGTACGTAAGTGCAGTAAACTCTATCCTAGTAAAAACCTCTGGAAACAACTTTATTTCCAAGATCATAATTGAATATCAGCATTGATAATTTTAATAGTTTGATAAGGTAGCCTCTCTCTAATCCGTCTGAGACTATCAAATAATGTAGTATGACTACCAAAATATCTAATCTGTCTAGCTGAAATATCAAAGAATTGCATTTTCAGCTCTTAACTGTAGTAGCAAAATTATTTTGATGGGAAAAATTTACATTAATTCAATGTAATTTCTTTGAATACAGCAAATCATGCAACACTATGTACTCAGTATTGCGTAATTTATCAAAAAAGTATGCTATATGAAATTTTATTCGTTTAACAGAGCTTCAGTCGACAACTATTGCTACACTAAATATGTATTTAAAAGTCCTGAGTGATCCTTTAAAATCTACCGGTAATCTAGCAAAGATGAGTAACTTACAATGGCAACTTCCTCTCACCTTTTTCAGTCTAGAAATGCAATGTTGATTGTCAGTCTTCCTCACCTTCTGCACTGCTGTCATCACTGATACTTTCTGAACTGCTGGTATTCTCTTCTTCCTCTTTATCTCACACTGCCCACTCCTCACTTACGTCCATGCTATTTTATATTCTACACTTTTTGAAGCTCTTACTAACAAGTTCTTGTGAAATTCCATTCCAGGTGGCTTTGATTCATTCGCAGATTCGAGTTATTTCGGGCCTCTTGATGTGACCAGTTGGTGTAAATGTGTAATTTCCAGCAGCCAACCATTCCATGTACATTCTTTTCAGTATTGCTTTAAATCAGCGATTAATGCATGCATGTAGTGGCTGCTAGTGGTGGTATATCCTCTACAAATCTCTGGCCAGAATTTATTATTTGAGAGGGTACAGTAGTATCATATAACATTATATTTTCTGGTGATACCATAGCTTCAAAAAGAAATAATTTATGCTGACCAGCTTGCGTTTACCTGACCTATATTGCTTTGTTTTGTGTAAACCTCGCACCACGATTTCCCGATTAAAATTATCAAAAAAACCTGCACGTGGTATTCATGAATATATGGTACATTGTAAAATTTACTTTTTAAAAAACTGAGCCTGAAACAATTTAGTTGTTTTTGTTGTAATATTCATCAATTTTTGTAAGTAATTTTTAATTTTATTAATATGCTGCTAATAAATTAACATCGCAAACATTTATTTAGCAGACTGCTAGAGCTTTGAATAGTGCAAATCCATTATCCAAATTAATATCTGCCATCAGTAATAATCATCATGTCTTAGAACCCTCCAGAGCAGACGAAATTTATTCACTGTATATTTATTTAGATGTATAGCATATTGATTTTAAAAGAAGTGTTACTTGTTATTAAATTATGTAATAATTAGTTGGTTCGTGTGTTTCAGTTACAACACTGTACTAAATATGCAACGTGGGATGAATCCTACTGAAGCTGCCCAAGATTCAATACAGCGCATTATATCCAAATATCCATCATTTACTGGTGCAATCATTGCTGCGTCTATAAGTGGAGAATTTGGTGAGATATAAAATTATGAATTTATGCTATTATTGTCATATTTATTGATGTTATCTGTGTATAAATATTTAGGATAATAATGTTAGTTTTTTTTTAAGTTATAATAAAAAATGTGCATATAATATTTTGTGGTTTATAGTAGTTTAGATGATATACGTGTGAGGTTGTTAAATTTTGTAATTTTTACCTAAGTGTTTTATGTAATGACAATTGCTTCTAAACTAAGCGATGGTCATATTATTCGTAGACTTGCATTTTTATTTTAGATGACTGTAAAATTTAAGTGATAATGAAATTTTAGCCCTTTGATGCGCGGTGCTCACACCGTGAAACCACCAATTTTTTTTTCTCCTCTCTGCTTTCTGCAATTTTTCAATGAAAACCGATTGATAGTATTTGCTCTTCACAATGGTATTTACTGCTTTTTAAATAGAAATGTTTATTTTTACCCGGATATGGATAAGCAGCTTTGAAACCACAGAGTTATTTTATTACTAAACAATACATGCACCTCCCCAGTGAAAAGGTGTTTCTTTTCCAGAGATTTTTCTCTGACCTCAACACACTTGCTTCCTATGCTAGTATTGTGATTTTATAAATTATTTTGTGTGGTTTAAATATGATGTAAATATACTTTGCTATAATTAAAAATTGAAATCATGTAAAAGTTTTATTTAACCCCTTCGCGCCGGGGTAGCGCAAACGCGCGTTTATCGCGGAGGCCGGCAGTGTCTTACGCAAGCGTCTGTCCATGGCCGGGGGCTTTTTTGCTATTAAGCCTAAATCGACGAAATTTCTGAAGTATCAATGCATTGTTTAATATAGAGTCTTTAAACTATAATTTAATAATGTTTAATATAAAGTCATCTATAGAGTATTTAAACAGCTTATGCTTTATAGATATTTTTATATATACTTTAATTACCTTATATCTTGTTTAAATGCATATTTTACACATTTTATTTTCATTGCTCACCATTTTATGACTTTTAACATTATACATCTGAAAACTAAATATATTACTTAAAATTCTCTTTTCGTATGAAAAATTTGAAAACAGGGATCTACACACAGTCCTACATTACATTCCTTGCACTCGTAGTTCATTTGCCGTTTTGGAGGATTTTTCAGGGAATGTATAATGACATTTCCGAAATGTCCTCATCATCATTAGATTCACCAGATTCTTTATGATCAGAATATATCATAGTATCACTATTACTACTATCAGAATCTGTTTCAGAATCAATATCTGAAATATTTTGCATCATTTCTGCTATTTCAGGCTCTGTTAAACATTTTCGACGCTTCGACATTGCAACGGTAAAAACAGAAAGAATTCACGTCTAACAAGATCTAATTATTTCTAAAAACTGAAACTGCAAACCGAAAATACCCAACGCTTTAGCGAAAATAAAACTTCTCTACTTACAATAAACAACTACCATGTACGAATTTAAAAAGACGTCATAAATCACGCCATTCGGAAACATTTATTTCCCCTTTTGTTTATGTAATCAAAAACACATGTATGTGAGTCATGCTTCTCTCATTTCGAGTAGGTCTAATGTACGTGAATCTGAAACCATATGGACGTACAGTGCCATCTTGTGGCAGAAATTATAGTTTTTAAAATGTTCCAGGACACTGGCACAAATACGTGACAATCGGGGCTGAACGGGAAAATGCTCTGGCACGCCTGCATGTCGGCCAAGAAGTGAGTGTGTTCGTTGCTGGCACGTAGACGTGACAGTCGGCACGAAGGGGTTAAATAAAATATATTTTATAAATATTTTGGGATGAAATACAAATAAAATAAATATGAATGGGTGAAATACAAATAAAATAAATATGAATGGGAAACGAAAGATCCACACCAAAGCCAAAATGACCAAGCCTCCCCATTAACGTGAAAAACCACAAATTTCATGTGCCAGACAAAAAGAGACTAAATAACGTTGGACATATAGAAGTAAAATGCAATGCCAGGCAGTGTACAGTTTGTAGCCCAAGGGCGAGAAACCTCATAGAACAACATAACTGTGAAACGTGCACAAAAATCAAAAAGGACAGACGGACAGACAAAACATGCATTGAACAGAGTCACTGCTACAGAAAAATTACATAAATGTGTATTTCAAAATTTTTTCTCTGATGATTTGCTTTGTAAAATAACGTAAAAAAATTTACATATAAAGCATTTCTTATGTACATTTTTTTTTTTAAATTCGCAAATTTTGTCATTTATTGGAAATACATACGGAAAAAGGTAAGTTTTTCCCCCTATTACTTCCGAAGTTCTAAAGTCCTAGACGAGTGCTGGTTTCATAGTGTGACTACCACACATAGATCAATGGGTGAATAGATTTTTTAAATTTCATAATTATTTTCCTCTTAGAATCATAATATTCGATTTCTAGAGTTTTTTAATTAAAAAATTATAAAAATAATATTGCGCATGTCAAAGGGTTAAGTGATAAAATAGGCTTAGTTTGATGGATTAGTATATAAACTGCAATTTTTTTGTGTTGCTTAAGAGCATTTTCATTCTGTCAAATTGACTTCTATATTCATAAAATAGCTTTAACCATATTCATATATTTTTTAAATTGTATTTTTTTTTGGCAGGGGGAATGACAGTTTGGTAATTTAATAACATATCATTTTAATAACATTTAATATCATAAGCCAGTGGTATCAAACTCAGATTTCATGCAGGCCAAATTCATGATATGAAAGCAACTGACAAGCCAAATTTTTTAATTAAATTGAAATTTTTTTCATAAATTTTACTTTTAATTGCTAAATATTTACTAAAACATGCATAAACAATAATAAAAATACAGTAGGAAAAATTCAAATTTATTTTCTATCCTGAAAATCTAAAGGTTGGTTGGTAACTGCAAGAAATTTCAGTTGGACTTATGAATCTATGTACTATCCTATAATTGAATGTACAGTCTTTTAATTTAAATCTATCAGAACATATTGAAACATATCAGAATATTGAACTAGAAATAAAGAAATTATGAAAGCTTTATAAGTTTTCTGAGAAAACTTTCCGAGTGGGACAAAATTTGAAAATAAATAATGACTACCTATTCTCTTTCACTTATTAAAACTTGCTTTGATATTTACAGAAAGAAAATGAACATAATTGAAAGTGAATAATTATAAATTTCTCTATTTCTTGGTACAATGTAGTGGCATTTTGACGGACATTAATTGTGTAGTCATGGAGAAGGTTACTGGAAATTATCTTTATCATGGATGGTATGCTAATCAGTCGGTGCAGCTTATTATAATAATTAGGGTAACATAAATTATACTTTGGACCTAATATTACCTGATTATAAATAAAACATGAAATTTTGTTGTGCACATTGCTTCAAAAGTACATAATTTCCAATTATTCTGAAGAACGTCTTCCTTTCATTTGCTTTTCTGTTATCCTATTCTAAAGACATGGCTTGCCATTTAAACTCTTAACTAAAATTACTATACAGTACAAAGTCCGTAATCCGGAATTATCTATAATCCGGACCTCAAAGCCACAAACTTTTTTTTTTGCATAATGCGTTTACGCATGCGCGTTTCCAATAGTGAAAAAAGTGACAAGGGAGGTTATTGAAAATGAAAACATTTCGATTTTCAAAGTTGGTATTCTCTATTCTCGACACAGCAATTACAGGACTTGAACAGTGGAACTTTGTAACTGAACAAGAAATTATGTCTGTTTATAGAATTAAAGAGAAAGTATCAGCACAAAAAAACGAAGCAACTTAAACAACTTACATTGAAAGAATTGTTTAATTAAGTAAACAAATAAATATTAAGCCTTTTTTTTTTGTAAATTTTGATACCCTTTAGATCATAATTGCTCTTTATTTAATAAATTACGGTTTCATATTTTTAATTGTATAATTTCGGCATACCATCTTACCAGATTTAAACTGGTGATCTATAATCCGAAAAACCCCTAATCCGGTATCGCCGAAGTCCCGACGAGTCCGGATTATGGACTTTGTACAGTACTAACTTTATTCATAATTTTAACTACTCTTTACAGGAATGAATTGTCATATGAAAGCAACACTTAGAAGTTATGCATGTTTCTGATTGATAGGTGTTGCTATAATATAGGTCTAAGAACAAGCACAAATAATCTGATTTGTAAGACGTACATTATTTTGTCTCCATCCAGCCAACTAACTAGTAACTACTGACTAAAGGAAAATATATATCAGAAGTATTGAGTCAGTAGAAAATAAATGAAACACCAGAATACTGAACTACCACCATGTGAACTAAATTTACTGATTGTATGTATGTAGGAAGTTTTCCTACCTTATTATCGCTCATATGGTTTGGTATATGAGGTTATACTGTGTTTTTGTACTTTGTATACCTAATAGTGGCAAAATCCCTATCTATTCATTTTATGTCCTTCCTTTTGTAGCAGTTATGCACATAAACTCAGTTCATATATCAGTGTCTCTAAAACTAAGGGCTATATTAACAACAATTGCATAGTTCAAATGTATTTGTGTGCCATGTAAAATTGCTTTGAGGGCCAGATGCAATTTTTAGATTACAAGTTTGAGACCACTGACATAATGTTACTTGACTTGGTTGACATAGTTTTTGTATCTTAAATTTTCTGTATGTGTTTGGGCTGTAAATTGACACTTAAAAAAAAAAAAACAACAATTTTAGGTGCTGCTTGTCATGGAATGAAAGAATTTCCTTTCTGTGTTGCCAACTACAATTATGGAACAGTTACTATTAAGTCTGTGTCATGCATTTAGGATTCATTGTTTAGAATGGTTTTAGATCTGTATTTCATACCAAAGAAGCATTTCCAAGTATGTCTGATCAAGAGAAATCATAAAGAAGGTCTATGCTAGAGTTTTGCAACTAATGGGTAATTTTGTGATCTCGGAGAAATTTTTTTAATTCAGAGCAGCAAACTTAAACTGCAACAAATGGCTCACAGCCAAAGAATAACTTAGAGGCATGCTTGAAATCATGTGAAACAAAGGAGATGAAGTTAAATTTAGGCATCATGCAAGCATAGCATAGTTAAATTAAAATGTTTTGTTTTTTATATTTTTATACGATAATGTATGTATTGATATTTGTATAATTCATGTTTAGAAAATATGATAAACCTTAAATTTATGAACACCTTTATAGCATATGAAAATAATTTAAAAAATCAGTTTTCAATGTACATATTATTTAGAACCACTCACCTCATAAATGAGAGGGTGTGTTGTATTATTCTGCTGTGATTTATTGTTATGAGAAAGGAGAATAGAGCAATTAAGGTTCAGAACAACTGCCTTAAGCTTATCAAGATGATAAACTGCATTTAAGCATTAATGAACTGTTTGTCATATCTTCCTAAGAAAATGGCAGGCTGTGACTGTATTCAATGTTTAATTATTCCAGATACTCAAAAAGTGTGTATGGTTTCTTATGTCCTATAAATAATTGTATTATTACTGTATTTTTATGTAAATTATGTAAAAATAAAGAGACCTTCAGTTTTTATATAAAAAATTTATTGTATCAAAAAATTATTTTATATTGATGACTTTATTAAACAGTACTTTTAGACTGAAAATCTGTCTTCTCTTCTTTTCTCAGATGAGACAACATATATTGAATTAGTCATTTACATACATTTTAGTATACATTTCTTCAGAGATATTTTCAGTAGTTAAATACATAGAAAGCATATGCATTTTGTTTTCTAGTGTGATATTTTAGTAATGTAAAATATTGTATGAATTATGTTCAATTAATTTAAATTTGTCTTGTTTGTGTGATTTAGGTTGAAAGGTTGTACCAAGAAAAAATATTACTGCTTTATAAATTGCAAAACAAAAGTGTTTGTTGATTACAGACCTCAACTGCTTTCATATATTCTTTCAATGGACCTGTTTTAAATAGGTGCTTATGTCTTTTATAGTTAGGACTGTACAAAAGCATGAAACACTGAGGATCTAATTTTCTAGCATTCAAGTATTCTTTCAATGGACATGTTTTAAATAGGTGCTTGTATCTTTTTATAGTTAAGACTGTACAAAAACATGAAACACTGAGGATCTAATTTTCTAGTTTTACATTAAAAATTGACAAAAATTAATAAAAAACAATGGATTGTTTTTAAGCAACAAAATAAAAATTCTGTATTAACATGGAAAATTCGAAATTTTGTTTGTTAATATGAATCATATAATATTTTAGAGCTAAGAACCATTACAGACATTTTGCTTTAAGCATCACAGTGCAATTATTAATTATATTGGCATCTCCGAGAGCAAGATATAATTAAAATTGTACTGATACACATATATATATTTCATATTTTTTGGTTTGCCATTACTGAAAGTGGGCTTGGAATGTCCATTTTAGTTAAGTTTTTTTTTTTCAAAATGACAAACTTCTAGTACTTTTAAGGAATATATGTACTTTCAGGTAACCTTTAATATGCAGAATGGAAACTAATTTCATAAAGTGTCATATTAATTTCCTTTTTCTAAATCAATTTAAAATACCACTGATTTCAAGTTAGATATGCATATGATAATATATCTTATGCATATGATAATCACAAATTTTGCTATATTTGATTTTTAAAATTAATAGCTTTTTAAAATTAATAGTGCCTCAAACTATTTTATGGAGTATTTTAGATGCTAACATGTCTATTAAAGTACTAAAATGAATACTGCCCCTTGCTGTATAGAAAACATATATCTTCTGCAATAATGATGCTTAACTCAGAAGCATAGAGCACTGAGAATTTTTCTTTTTTTTTTCCAAGATGGTAACTGCTTTGAAAAGGGTGATAAAAGTGAAATCTTTGAGTTGTTAGCAGATTTATCTTCTCCTTTGAAACTGCTGGAAGTCTTTTCTTTATTGTGTAGCTTTTCATGAAAGTTGGAGTTCCATAGAAAACTTTTAACATGCAGTTTGCTGTATTTGAGCACCATGAAACCCATCATAAGTAGAGAAAAGTAATACGCTTCTGAGTTCAATTATCATTTTCCATGAACTAAAATTTATCACCTAAGAAATACGTTATTAAATATCACTGTTTTTAAGTAATTACGATGAAATGATTATGATGATATATTTAAATTCATTTTCTCGATTTATTAAGATAAACTTAACGCAAGTTTTCTAAATGGAAGTCATCTCTAAGGAACATTACAGTTAAGTAGATTTAGTTTGAATTCAGATGAATTAGTAGTTAAGCCTGCATTCTGTCTCTAGACATTCTTTATGTTTTTAGTGAGGAAGATCAAGGTTAAAAAATATTTCAAATCGTAACATAAAATAAATTTTAAAGTGAGTAATATAGTTAATTTCTAATTCTTTATTTAATTTTGTGTTTGCTATTTAAATTCTCCAAAGTTTTGTATTGTAAATAATACTTAATGATTGTTTTTACGTAAAATATGATATTCATTTTAAGTACCGTAGAGAAACCTGTGTCTTTTGCATATGATAATCACAAATTTTGCTATATTTGATTTTTAAATTTTCTGGTCATATATTCTAGTACTCATTACTTCCAGCACAAACATTTAGTATTTTGTTTTTTGGGAAGCTGCTTAATGCAAGTTCAGTTTTTTATATCTGCATCATACTTTTTGCCATAGCTGAAATGAATTCATGTTTCTACTGTGGAAGGGAAGTTTCAAAATGGAGCTCTATAAACGTTTTTGAAAAATTATTGATTTCTTAATCTAATTTTTAAGAATATGGAATATCTTGCTATATGGTTTTGAGTTTGAAGACAAAAATTCTAATTTTTAATATTTAAAATACTTAAGTTGCTTGTAAAGCTTGTAGTATAAAGTATTTTCACATAACTAAATCTAACTAGAAATTTCGTTTTATACATTTAAGATCTTAGCACTTCCTTTTGATTACAACTTCTCTATTATATTTTGGAGGTATCAAGTATGTATGAATTACAAATCAGTGAAATAGAGTTTTTAAATCTGTTGTTTCTCTGATGGATTTAATTCATATATATGTATAGCTAAGAAAAGATTTTCATTTGTTGGACCTTCATGTGTATGTCAAAATATCAAAGTCGTTCTATACATGTCAAGAGAAATGATTATTTGAAACTACTGTTATTAAGGTACGATAATGCACATATGTATCTTGTAATTTTTATTATGTGGGATTCATTTGTTAACAAGTGTATTAACCATGTGTGCAGCATTGAAATAAGGCCAAAAGAGGTTTGTTTTGTCTATCATAGTTTGCATTTCTCTTTGTTGATACTCAGTTACTGTTACAAAATCATCTTTTGCTTTTGGATTGTGTTCACTACTAAGCACAGCTATTTGTTTGTAATACGAAGTGAAGAAATTTACCTAACTAAGATATTTCTAAGATTTGCATATGTATTGAAGCAGCTAAAGTATTTATAATTTGCTTTTCAATTTGAATGTATTTGGTAAATGAGGAGTTTCTTTTGATGTATAAAATGCTGGTAATGATCCACCTAGTATTAAAAATGTTTTTACTACATTCGATAAAATGAGACGCGTTAATCTAACACAACTGTGTCATGCTTTTGGCTCAGTTATTTGAACCTACGCAAGAGAGACTAAGTTCATTTTCGTTGAGGGTAAAAAATACTATATTTATGTCCCATGGTTATAAAATGCTCAACATGTCTCTAAATGGTTGTGTGTTACCTTCTCAGAAATCACCCCCTTTTCAAAAGGCTGCTTAAAGCAACTTGTACATAGTCATAGTTTCTAAAAGCACCTAAAATTCATTGTCAAAACATCAGTATTGGGTACTGTAACCGGGAATGGTTGAAACTCTGAATTCACCACAATTGTCCTGTTTCCTACCCATAACGGGTTTTGTAGAGCTTCGACATGATAATGCAAATTTCAGCTCTCGGAACATCTCTTTACATAGGGGTTCCTAGGAAAAAAAGGAAATGTGCTGAGCATTTTAGATGCATAGAAATAAAATATATAAAATGAAAAGAATCTTTAAATTAATTTATCATCATTACATTATTTAACAAAATATCTGACATTTTTCATTTGGAGTATAGTTTAATAGTTAAGTTTCCTCTATTGATAATTTTGAATTGAAATTGAAAATGTTAAAACTGTTTTATTATTATATTAGTTCATAGAGCAATAGAATATTTTAATATTGCATGATTTAAACCTGAAGCTATCTGGAACATTTTAGTACTCTAATCATCTTAGTAGTTTAAGGCCTAAGAACTACAGGTAAGTAATTTTTACTGCAAAGCGCTCGATTTCTGCATGTAACTTATGATCAACAGATAAAATAAGCAGCCAATTAGATGAAGTATGCAAGGGATTTGTCTTGCTTTTAAATAGAAAGGAATACGTTTGAAAGTGATTTGCTAAACATGGGGCAGAGCTCTCCTGTTGGCAAGCACATCAACGCACATCAGGCTGACAGCTTTCAATCCGTTGTCAGTTGCGACTATCTTGTATGGGGAAAGTCCAAAAAGTCAACTTATTTAGCCACCAAATATTGAACCTGGGATTACTTACTACTATTCATGCATCTTTTCCATTTTATATTGTTTAAGAGTGTGATTATTAATTAGGAAATCATTACCATTCTTCTGCCGTCTCTGCGTGCGAATAACATTTGTATTAAGACACAGGTTTACACTGCAAAATTTTTGTGCATTTAGCTTGAGCAAGCCAAACATGAATTTTCATAGATAGGTGTGTTACATCATATCACAAATGATACTAATTTAAGTGGCATTTCAAAGCTGATCTATTCTAATGCTGCTGGCACTTCATGTGGAGTACTGTTTAATAGTTAACTAATTAATAATAGACACAGTAAGAATACAGCCTTAAAGTATGTTTTCATACATGTTTACATTTTATCATTTGTTTTATAACCTTTATTAAGTATTTGCATAATTGTATGCCTTATAGTACTTACTCTGTCTACGTGAGCTAGTTTTCTTGCTTTCCAGAAAAATTCAATTACTGCCACAAATGCAGCCAAAGCTAAGCCCGTCAGAAGCACAACAAAAACGCCTCCAACGTTACCAAGGCCAAGTTCTGTCACACCACTAGATGACTTTTTAGAATCATCCATGCATTTGCCGCCACCCTTTTTCTGCTTCCACCATCGTTCTTTAAGGATGTGTAGAATACCATCTTCTTGCAGCTTTAAAATACCGCTTGATAATGGTGTTCTGTACTTTGATCCTGTGGAATATTCATTACATAAATAAAGAAGATACCTGCCGAGTTCCATAAATAGCTAACATGAAATTCATATTGACACTAGTTTCATTATGAAGTTAGACATCTTTGTTCTTAACAAAATTATTGTATTCTGCATAAGTGCTGCCATTCAAATACTTTTGGATGACATATGTGATTCCTAATACTATCTCTCGAGGGGGAATATGCATTTAAAAAAATATAAACATGGATGATTAGTAAGGAGGGTATAATGCAAACCTCTTATACCTATTATATGCGATTCCTAATGTTATCTTTTGAGAGAAAGAAAAAAAAAGCATTTAAAAAATATAAACATGAATATTTAGTTAGGAGAATTTAATGCAAACCTTTTCCATTTCATATTATTTCTTATTAATCATATTATCATATATTCCATTCTTTTAAGTTCAATGTTTAGATACCTTAGCAGACCCCAGAGCAGTTCATTATTACTAACTTTTAAATCCCGGTTATTGATATTGTTCACTATATATTTGTCAGGCCAACATACACCTAAATTATGCGCAAGTCATGAAGTTAACGTCTGAAGAGATAAGTTTAATGCACCAGGTATGGAAAATGTGTTTAATCCAACCAAAACACAGTACGAAAATAACTGTGAACTGTTAAATTATTTTAATGAACACTATTATTGCTCGTTGGCCGCACAAAAGTGGGTGGCGGGTCTTAGTTTTCCCTAATCTGATTTTGAAGTTAGTCATATGTATCTATTCTGTACACGGGTTACAACTTTTAGTATTCTTTGACTAAGTCTTTGGGAGGAGTTTAGATGCTGATTTTGTAATCTATAAACAACATAAGAGTCTTATCTACACTCATGTCCATAAATTAAGGATAATGCAAAATCAGGCAAAGGAAGAGTTAGAAGCAAAACAAATTTGACTTATTTGTAAAGCTTATTTATTAAACAAAAGGTAAAGAGTAAGAAAGGATGCTATATGTTTGATATTATTAAAAAAATTAGCGATTTTTTCTCCCTGGAGCAAATTGGAAAAAAAAAAAAAAAAAAAAAAAAAAACCTATTTACAAAAAACCAATATTACATGGTTGGTATGATTGTTAATACATTGTAAGTCTCCCAGACGATGCAATACAGTCCGTACAAGTCCCAAGATCGATATATTACACCACTCAAAAAGCAATTCTCTCCGAAGTTTCGGTAGACATGTAGGAGGAGGTTGACGGGCTGCAACTCGTCGGCCAAGCATGTCCCATACGTGCTCTACTGGATTCAAGTCCGGTGAGAATGCTGGCCAGTCCATACGGGTGATATCCTCCGATTGAAGGCATTCGCTTACGACGTTTGCACGGTGAGGACGGGCGTTGTCATCCATAAACACAAATTGTGCGCCCATGGCACCCCGAAACAAACATTCATGTTGTTCCAGAATGACATCCCGATAGATTTGGCTTGTCATGGTTCCAATTTGAACATGCAGGTCAATTCTGGAATCCAGAATAATTCCACCCCAAACGAGCACTCCTACACCACCGTAACGGTGTCGTTCAATGATGTTTTCTTGGTGGTAACGGGTACCTGGAGCTCTCCATGTGAAAGTCCGGCGAGAATCAGACTGCAAGCTAAACCTGGACTCGTCGGAAAACATCACACAAGCCCACTGTTGCAGTGTCCACAATGCATGCTCTCTACTCCAGACTAACCGCAGGCGACAGTGAGTTGCAGTAAGTGGAACGCATCTGACAGGTCTACGATCATATAGACCAATCTGCCCTAACCGTCTGTACATGGTCTGCCTTGAAATTGTCTTACCAGTGGCTGAAGAGAGCTGACGAGACAGGTCTGAGTCTGTGCTCCGCCTGTTTCTTTGGCAGTAACTGCCAAATACCGGTCCTCATTCCGCTTTGTAACTCTGGGGCGATTTGTGCTGTAACGTCTACTCACATTACGATCATCTTGGAATCGTTGCCAAAGACTGGAGATGACACTCTGAGCAATTCCAAGTTCGTCTGATACTTCCAGTTGGGTACGCCCACATTCTAGATGGCCGATAATTCTACCACTTAAAAAATCATCCATATGCGTCCTTTGTGTCATAACTATTCGGTTATTGCACTGAAATGCTTATAAAGCGCCTGCGAACAATTTTACTTCTTTGCCTGTATTCCTTATATATCACTCTCTTACACTCTCGTCATTGTGACGTACCATCGGTGTCATCTGGTTACTTCCCGAAATTTGAATATGATTCTTGAAGATGTGTGTAGTGATTTTACAGGTGATATATTTATTTCAGAGTTCGATTTCCGCATGAATCCGAATTATCCTTAATTTATGGACATGAGTGTAGTTAGAGATTTTGTGTTGCTGGAAACATATATAGGTTGACATATATATATAGGTATATGTAGGTTGACAGCAAAATAACTATTAGGATATGAAGCAAATGAGGAAATCTGGTGAATTAAAAAATGCAAAAAGGGGAAAAATAGTAAAAAATGAATTAAAAATATATATTTATGTTGCCTAACATGAACATACATAGTTTCATCTGGTGGGGGAGGGGAGCATGTGGGCAACTTATGGCATCCAATCAACTATTATCAGTCACATTTCTGAATGTACAAACTGAACCTTATGCAACTGATAAATTTTGGAAAAAGGAAAATTATTAACTAACATTGTCAGTATAAAGTTAAAATCTATGCAACCCATCTCAATGCGATTTTTCAAAATAGGGAAACATGAAACCATTTGAACTAATGCGACTGAAAATTGTAGATGGGAAAATCTAGATGAACATATAGCGCTGTATACTCGTAAATAGATACAAGTTTGTTAACTAACTCCCCTCCCCCCCGAAAAAAAAGGCCATAAATCTGTAAAAGGGAAACTAGAAAAATTTTTGAGGGACACAAAATCTCTTGTAGTTTGAACTATTTTACATTCTTTTACGTCAATCTGATTTGTATTAAATATTGCGGCTATGGTCTATATTGTAATATTATCTTCTTCAATTTTCTTTCTTCACTTCAGCTTTTTATTTTAATTGTACATAAAGGGTGTTTAAAAAACTGGGATTAAATATCCCACATTTTTTTAAAACTGTGGGATATTAAATCTCTTGAAAAGTTGGTGACAATCAAATACTCTAATCTTTCAGACGATGGTGAACTTAGTCATATCGCATTTTATACTTGCCATTTAAAAAGAAAGTTCCAATTCAAAAGTATTTCTTATCCTATTACAGTTTATTAAAAAGGAAAAAAAAAGGCGAGACTAAGAAAAAATTGCGAAAATTACATAACTTAGACCATGACAGAAGAGCACATATGTCGAAATTTCAGGAGTCGTATAAAAACTGCGCTTGTTTAGATATAAAATTTAGTATATTTTAGTATTTGTACAAATAGTAACTTTGTAAAATTTAAAATTAGGCAAATATGAAACTTTTGAATAAAACTATTTCGAAGGAAATAAAATACAGGTGGTTCTCCTTCAGGACTAAAAATGTTTTTACTCCTGAAGAAGAGGGACATGTATCTGATCTCCTTCGAAATCAGTGCAGTTTTATTGAAGAATCTACACCAGATTAAGGCTTAGACATTTTTACTAATTCAGCTAAAGGGAAACATTTTTCTCTTAAACACATTAAAAAATGGAGCCCGCCCGTGTCACACATTCTTATTTACATATCACGTAGACAAAGCTGCCATAGTTAGAAAGTAAATTATTTGAACCATTATTAACTCTAAGAAATGGATATTCAAACAACGAAATATTTAGTTTTGCTGAACCACCATGTATACATATCACGTTTGCTTACATATGACGGCAGTAACCGCGGGCGCCTTCTGGCGGAAAAAAGGAAAGAACTCGGGTAACGAGTGACGTGTCTAATATGAGCAGAAACTGATAGATCGTTCTCGTATTTATCTGTCACGCAATACTTGCATTTATTAATTTGTAAATATTAACTGTGTGTATATATTTTATATGTTAATAATAAAATTCTAAAAAATATATTAAGAGTTCAGCAGTGCATGGATTTCAGTGGACAAAAAGGAATGGACTTCGAAAGGAACAGCAACAGTTTCCAGGGTAGCCCTTTGGAAGGGAAATGAATATTTTACTTATCCTATTAGAAAAATTAATTTGAAACACGTTAAAAGTTGATGAAATTTAACAATACACAAGGAAAGAGAAAAAGGGGAAAATGTTACCATTCAACAGTTGCATGCATTATTTTCAGTAAACATCAGATAACAGTTTAAAATGCTATCTATATTTACCTTTCCTCGTAGCTATTCCATAGCCTTTCGAGTCTAGTAAACTTCCGATTTGAGTAAGATTACAGTTTCTCTCTGTAATGTATTCAATAGAAGCTGATTCCATGAGATATGCATAATCGCCTTGCATGACCCTTTGAACTCCTTTCTCATTATTGGGCATGAAGACCTCTGGATTTGAATTCATGAAGTTCCACATCTTTTGGTATGTTGGAATTTTAGACTCCTTTAATAAATAAAATGCTCTTTATTGCACTGAGAATTCATAAAAGTCACTCTTATTACTATAGAGATCATCTGAAGGAAAAAAAAATATTTTAGTAAATAAAACAAATATTCATGGTCTTAACTGGTTAAATAAGTTTTAAATAATAATTTCACATAAGAAAATTTTGAATATTATACACTTATGAATCTAATTATTTTATGTTTTGAACGTTATTTAAATTTATTGAACCCCCTTCACTACTTTGCATATGAAAATTTTATAACTAGGGAAATATGAAATATGATTTGTTTAAGTTTCAAGAAAAAAAAAATGTTTTCCCCCTTTTGCTTGGCTTTGTTGTAACCTTTAAGAAATAAAATGCGCGTTATTACAGTAAAAACTCTTAAAAGTCACTCTGAGAAGTCTGCGTATCACAGGTATCAGAAACATTTGGAGACTGTCGAAATAATATATTTTTACATTAAACCAAAAATGAGTTTGCTGTTATTCATTTACTTAGTAAAGAACTTTTATAGGTAATTCTAACTAGTCTTGAAGTCAGGAGATGTACTTTACAGTGTTATGGTATTGTAACCCTGAAATAATAATCAAAATTATATCAAATTACAATACATAACAATATCTGTTAGGAATGGGGATCGTTTTGTATCTTAGCCGAACCCGTTCGCTTTCGTTTCTTATTTAATACAACTGCTTTTTCATTATTTCCAGCAGAGGATTTATGAAGTGGTGAAGGCATTAACTTTCAGGGGCCTAGTTGTCTTAAGACGCAAGATATAATGATTGTTTTTTAAAAATTAATGAATGATTTGGAAGATGATTAGAATTCAGAAACCCTAGCGAATATGAAATACGCAACCCAATAAATCCAACTCCGATTATTTCCCTAATACCTCGCTTCATAATAATTTTGCTTCCATAATTAGTTATTTTGGAGGGAATATTCTGCCTTATAAAATATACATAAAGCAAAAATAGTGAAGATTTGCTTGCAGTTTTCAAGGAGTGTACTGAGGTGATTTCACGCAAGCCCGTTTTAATTTATACAGCGATTTAGATTTTTGAAATGGGACGGGGTTTGATTACAGGAATGAAATGGTGATAATTTTTAGCTGACAACTTTCATAACATTTCTGTTTTGAGCTTTTGTTCCCCAGTTTTATTAACCAAAAAATCTTGATCTAAAAGAAAGCATGGAACGTCCCTGAAATTTTGAAAATTTATGTAAATTAAATCTGGTCAATCTTTTAGCGTTTATACATGAATTCTAGCGTTTGCTCTGCGACTGAAATACTCTCTGGAAGTATAGAGCTCCTGGGAAAGAAACGACGGAAAAGACTACATATATATCTGAAATCAATGTGTTTATTGCATTGTAGTTTACGCTGCTGGAAAGAATTACTCAAAAAGCTTCTATGTGAGAGCCATTTGTAATTCTCACATGCTTCTAATAATAATAGTATAGTAATTATTATTCTAACAATAGTAGTAAATTATTATTCTAATAATAATAGTAAATTATTATTTTAATAATAATAGTAACTATTATTCTAATAATAATAGTAATAATAATGTAAGAGCCATAATGTTCGCACTTTGTAATTCGAGCTATGTCTAGGCTACACTCTCTCTCATTTCAGACGTTCGAAAGCATCACTGCGAGCAATCCAATCGTCCTATCGCCTTCATAGTTTGGGCGTGCAGGTATGTAGTAGTGATCATAGGCGTTCGAAGTACATGTAGTACCCTCAGCGATTCTGCTTGAATATTCATTAGAATAAAAAAAAATTGAGACGTTTGGGTGCAACGTTTCACGAGGTCAAACATGGCGAGTAATTGTTAGGGACAACGGTGATTTTTGTTTTTCTCCAGAAACTGTTGCACCTTGAGAACACTGGGGCTTGGTGTGTTGTTACGATAAAAAAAACACTTTCCAACTTTGAAAACTTTATTTTTTTGTTAGATAAGGCAGCAAAGTTTTTTAAAACGGCGCTCTGAAAGCCCTGATTAGTTGCCAGAGGAGTTTTTGGTAGAGCCTTGATGTTGGAAAAATTTTACGACATTATCTTCGTTGCATTTCTAACTTTTCATACCTTCTTCGATTTTGAAAAAGTAGAGGTTCTTGATTTCGAAGGATATAATTGTGGATCAAATTCTCAGCTATCACTTCGTAGATTGATTTTCCAGTATATTGAGGATATAGTGTCTCCCGCCTTGCGAAGTCGCTGAACACTGGTAGTTCGGTCCGAGGTTCGAATCTCGCGAACGGGCTGGTGGCATGGGTGTTTTCGTGGTTTTCCCTATGTGTAACGTGTATACGAGCCAGTTTCTCTTAGAAAGTCCTCCACGAAGGCACTTCCCTTAGGCAGATAGCCCTCGAGGCATTGCCGTAATTAAATTACCTAACCTAACCCCCGCCTTGCGTTAACATTCAGCACTATACTGAGGCTAAATCACAGATGTAGCTAGAAAAACCTCATTTAAAAGGCATCTAATAAGCGCTCCTATTCAGAATGCAAGTGCTGAGATAGATGCATAACTGTAGGAGAGAACCATCCTCAAAAAGGTGGAAACAATGTGCAATTCAGGTAACATTACAAAATTAGCTAAACTTGCCTGTTCTCCTTTTGATCAGCAAAATACTTTTTCATGCTTCAGTCTTTCAAAGATTTCTTAAAATTTTCATAGAATTCATGCACCAAAAGAACGAATTCCATAAATATCAACAAGTAGAACAGATGACACTAGGCAGACAGCTGTCGCATGCTTTGCCTTAACCAATTAAAAAAACGTATGCGGCATATTTAAAGAAGCCGTACTGAAATTGCGTTGCTACATGGAACCCCAAAATTTTCAAGTACAATCAGAATCATGCCATAAATGTGCAGACTTACAATTTCTCTTGAACTGCAGTTATGTTCATAAATCAATAAGTTACCTTTTAAATATAGGTTTAAAACAGTCAACGAATTCTAAATTTTTAAAAACAGTTAGGAATTGCCATTGTGATATTTCGTAATATACAAGCACCATGAACAGTATATATAATTTGTGTAGTACTAGTGCGCTGTTGCTCAGCTAGCTGCATCATATAAAGCTTTCAAAACAGCCATTAAATACTCCAGTTAATTAATTATAAAAATAAATATTTCAAATGTTTCTGTAATCTTTATTCATCTTTTGTAGTTTGAGAAAACTTGTAATAAAGAACTATTTTAATAACATTTCCATCACATAATACAAATAAAGTTATTGACAAATAAATAACTCATTTAGTGTACTAAAACTCTAAAATGTAGTTTAGAACACAAATCTCAAACTCTCTTCAATTAAAAAAACACTTTCTATATTGTTTTAGCTGTGTAATCTAACACTGTAATTTACGCTCAGTTTGCATGGTCAAACATATCTTCCTTAAATATATGAAAAGATTTTAGGATATTTTTAATGTAACAACTAATTGTAAGAGTTAAGTTATTTACGCTATTTGAAATTTTTGAGTTTCAAACCCGTTTGGTTTTCTTTTAGCTTTTATTGATTCATTAAACCTTCAGTTAGTCCGAACTCTTGATAAAATTAAATTAAATGTGCAATAAATGCGATTCCTTTTTGGGAACAATTGTGCTTCATTGTAGCTTGGTAAAATTATATTTAGATCATTTCAGTAAGAGAAAAGGGTATGGAGTTTTGAATATGTACGAATTTTGTGCATCATCATGTGTAGGAAATTTAAAATGACTGTTGACAAAGGATCTGTGTATTTTTTACTTGTTATTCTAAGCCATTTAAAATTATCTTTCAAACATAAGAAGTTAAGAGTAGGAACACGCTGATTGTCAAAACGTCAAGTATTTTAAATACCCAATTTCGCACTTACTTTGAAAAAAGCTTTTGTAGAACCGCTACCTAAGCATCCATATTTAATTTTTGTTTGCTTGGCTAAATCTTCGGCACTCTCAACAGGATAAATAACTTTTTCTACTGTTAGAAAAGCAGCTAAATTGGCGGTATAAGATGAAATCATGATTAGAGTAAAGAAATACCAAATTCCGGCAATAGTCCTCGTTGACATAGCCCTGGAAAACAACAAACAATTTCTATTAGTACTTTGAATTTAAATAGTATCATTGTTTGCTACTGTATTTATAAGTTTTCTAAACTAGAGTGTTATTCATAAATAAAAAATAAATTAAATAAATAAATAAATAAATAAATTAAAAAAAACTCCAAAATTAAAAAAAAAAAAAAAAACCCGAAAGCAGCTTATATTATTTATACAGATATTTTGTTCTTGGTGAGAAATTCTGCAAAGGAAATTAACAAAATTTTGTATAGTGCTTACATAAATTTTCAAGGTCTTTCCTCAGTTAAACATATATACAGTTTCTAAGCACGTCACATTACTCATGGCATTACTCTGGAACTGTAAACGCATTAGCTTACCATTAATATGTCCATGGGATCATAATACTGTCATATGAAGCCTAGCCCTCTTGTTGCATCATTATGTCAATGTGCACTAAAGATTCATGTCACTAAATTTTCAAAAACATTTTAGCTTCAGTATTATATTCTGTCATCAGCAAAACTACAAATTCTTGAAAAAGTCAATCAATCAATCAAATTATATCAGTTTCTTGAAGAAATGTTTTACATTTTCTACAGCTTGGAAAGTGTTTTTAAAAAAATTATTTAATTTTTCTTTATCATTATTATTATTTTTTTTTTGTTGCGAATAGTTTGATTAATAGCCTTTTTCTTTATTTCTTTTCAGTAAACATTAGATGTATGGCATTTAAAATCCGTACAGCTTGATTGTTTTAAAATTTAATCATCTCAGGAAGCTTGAATATACGAACAGTGCCAACCAACTTATAAGATATTTTTCCCACTTCCCTAGCGTGCCTTCGTGGTGTAACTGTAGCACGCTGGGCCGGTATTCCAGAGGTCCGTGGTTCGATTCCCGGCGAAGGCGGTTGCATATTTTCATCTTTCCTGTTTCCAATTAACCTAATGACTCTACAAACTTTACAAAATAAAGACTTGGAGAATTGTGCTGGGACGGAATACTCGCAAATAAGGATTTGATTTATAAAATGATCTTATAATGCTCGATACATTTTCTTTCGTTTAATTAAAATTTAACCTTTATTATTTTAAATAAAGTAAAGCTATATCGGTTTACAGTATGATTTTTTTTGATAATTCGTAGGATAACATTATCGATCTTTCAAAATAACTACCTGCATTTTTATCTTCATGGCTCAGCAACGATTTCCTGCAATAGTATATGTTATCATTCTCTAATATTCAAATTTAGAATATCATACAACTTATACCTAAACTCTCTCTCTCTTTTTAAATTTCAAAATACCTGAACCTTGATCATCCGGAATCGGATACATTTTGCCTTATGTTACATTAAACCAAAACTATTGGGATGACGTGCCATAAACTATAAACAAAGTATTTTTATATAGGCTGCGCGAAAATTTTTAATTTATTTCCATTTTGTTATATGAATTTTATGATGCTAATAATGTTTTAAATTGTCATAAATATTTACATTGTTGAAAAATGTCATGTATTGATTAGTCTATCTTCAAACATTATGCTTACTTGTATATCTGCTGTGCTTTATCACGTTGAGTATCCCAAATCCGAAATCTTAAGCATTTTGAAACCCGTACAGTTTTGTTTATAATATTCACACGGCTTACACACAGACCTTTAAGATAGACCCATGTCTTACTATTTTCGGCAATCCATAAATTACGTGATTTAATGAGTAAGGTATTTTATTCCTCCTTACCGCGTGCCTTGGTGGTGTAGTTAGAAAGCACGTCTGGCTGGTAAACGGAAGATCCGGTGTCTGGAGTTCGAATCCTGGTGAGGTCATTGCACATTTTTCATGTTTCTTGCTTTGATATAGCTAATGACTCTACAAATCTAGGTCACTTTCTGCGCTCTTATGTCATTCTAATAGGCTGATCTTCCTGATGCAAAACTTTCTTCATTGTTTGTACAGAAGAACAGTTCAAAGAGAAACAAACCTGTTTTCAGTTTTAAAATCATAAAAGGGAAGAAAGAGGTATCTTCAAAGACAAATCACTATGTTCAGATACTTATTTAAGTTGTATTCGGGAAACTAAAGAGTTTCATGTGTATACTTAAATTACATGTAAATATATATATTACTGATAGTTTTAAAGCCCTGGTAATTCTTGATACTAAAATTAATTCTCAAGTCACAGCCCGTAACTGGTGAGAAGCTGTGGTGCTTGCTTAAAATTCCGACATAGGGCCCAACATTGAAGGGTTGTTTATTAATTTGGAAGAACCCGAAATTTCAAACGTTCTTGTTTCTAAATACGCGTATTATTTTGGATTAGAGATACTCATCTTATAACACTTTATGAGTGAAACTTTCTGAAACAGGTTTCTTTATAAATTGTACAAAGAAAACGTACCTGGGTGCAAGATCCGATCCTTGTTGCATCAAAGATCCAATTGTGAACCACAAGCTATTCATAAGGCTGAAGCTATTTTCTAAAACTTGTTCATCCTGCCGGCAAGGATGAGGGTTGTCCCATTCATAAGGACTCAAGCGTCCCACTAAGAAAAGAGTGATACTAACGCCAATATGGGCACCCATTACATATATCCATACTTCCATGGAAAATGGAGAGAGAAAAGAGAAGAGTGTCGTAACTTTTGTAGTTGGTTTCTTGAATAAAATGCTTATACCTGTGTTCATGAAAGGCATGGTGAAGTCAACAGCTTCTTCTCGCGAAGATGTGATGGTGAGGTCAACAATGGCAATGTCGGCAACCTACAAAAACAAGACTGTATTAGTATTTATCCTTAATTTAACAGGAATATTCGCAGATTTAACAACATATATTCATTTAATTTAACAAATGTATTCGTTCCGTTCTTCAAAAAGATGCTGGTATCTTAATGATGGGCCACCGTTACTCAGCGATCTTAAATGATGGACCACCGTTATGCAGCGGTCTTGATACCTTTCGAGAAGCTGAAGCTATCTATCAAACCTCCATATATTTTCCGTACGTTCTATTCTATTTTAGGTATGCCAGTGGACACTTACCATCATCGTTGTTTCAAGTATCTTGGTTTCCAGATTCTTCATTTCCGAGTAAAAAGTTTTGTTGATTATCCGTACATTTTTTTGCATTTTCAATGCCTTAATAACGGTTAATAATGAAGAGAAGAAAATACGAGAAAGTAATTTTCTTAAATAAATACGAGAAGTAATTACGTAAGAAAATACGAGAAAGTAATTACGAGAAAGTAATACGAGAAAGTAATTTTTGTTTAGCAAATAATACGCGGAATTACAAAATGTTGATCAAAGAATTTTGTACAAAGAAATCGATATTTTGTAACTGATATATACAAAATAATGATCAAACAATTTATTACTCGAATAATTTTGGAATTTTTACAGAAAAGTAAAATAATAACTACTTTTTATTATCATGCACATGCATTATCACACTTTTTCAGATTATATACTGTCACTTTAAGATAAACCTCTGATTAGTCTTACCTCATTGATGAGTTCTCCAATCATTCCATTCCACTGTCCTTGGTCATTCTTCAGTCCATACGCTCTGTCCGCAACTTCTTTTATAATATATTTGAAACCTAAATGTTTTGCTAAATGGTCGATAAGATCTATACAGAAACCTTCGTATCTTGCGTTTCCTGTAAGTTTTTCTGCGGAGTCTTTTAACATGGCATAAGGTGAGTTCTGAAATGAAAAAGATTTCGCGTAAAAGAGCTTGAAGTGCTTGATATTTAATTTACATTTTGTAAGAATCCGTTAATTTATGCAGCGTTATGTTTCCCTTAGTTTAATGCTTTAAATCATAAACGAAAGAATTGCAGGCTCTGTTATTAAATGTTTAGAATATTTCGCTCAAAAAGTATTTTAAGATGATAGTTTCATCTCTCTTTTTATTAGCAAGTAATAGCTTAATTTTTAGATTGGGGTAAAACATTCAAAATGAATTTTCTACTCCAAATCTAACACACGGAAATGTTGTATTCAGAGTTACAGGCTCTCGTTCAGTCTTATTACATTTTTATTCCTTGAAGGAAACACAAGATCGTACTTGCATTGTAGAGTCATTAGGTTTTCTCGAAGAAGGATACACGAGAAATGAGCAATGCCTTCACCGGGACTCGAACCTCGGACCTCTCACGCGCCGAGTATACTGACCATTACAGCACGGAGGCATGCTAAGAAGGCGGGAGAAATACCTTGTATACACCCCCTTTAAAAGGGCGACTGGGGATTAGGGGACCCAATCGCCAAATCCTGGTAGTGGAGAATCATCATCCACCACCACAGGCGGGAGAAATACCTTGTAGCATTTCATGCTTCGAAAGCATGGCTTATCATAATTTACTTTTCAGTTTTCATTAAACAATTAAGAAAATCTGAAATATTTAGGATTATTTCACAGCTCAGTTATCAAATGCACGTTTCTGATTTAGTTAGCAGTACGGAGTTTACTGTTAAGCTTACTGTAGTCAAGTTTACTAATAAGCTTACTGTACTCAAGTTTGCTGTTAAGCTATACAAAACAAAAGCCCGTTATTCAGTTACTTTGAGAACTTAAGGATCAAAAATTTTTTTTCTAGAGTAAATTAGCTAAAAAATGTGCATTTTAAGCAGAAGAAGCAAATTTAGTTAGATAGTGTTAATAATAGATGGGCTACAAACTGAAGGTCTTCTAACCATGGAACTTGCTTTTCAACGTACGAGTGTAGTCCTTTAGCGGCCGAGCGGTAAAATCACTGAACACTAGTAGTTCGCTCTGGAATCGAATTCCTGCGAACGAGCTGGCTACAAGGTTGGTTCTTGTAGGTTCCCTCATGTGTAACGTTGATACGAATCAATTTCCCTTAAAAAGTCCTTCACGAAGTATCACCATCACTAGGTAGATCACAGAGAACAAAGGTAATAAAACTCCACTCCGCAGTTCTCTGCTTAGATTTGTGGAATGCATTCGACTCGCTGTGACGGCCGAGTGTTCTAGAAGCACTCAGGAAATGCTCGTCCAACTTATTCTGTATTCAGAAATCGAGCTAATTTCAACCATTGCAACGCGATGTCTATTAAAACACAACAGCAAAGAGAATGCCCTTAAGACTTATGCATGAACGCAGTCCTTTGGAATTTAACTTTTGATTCCATTACATCCCACAGATCGCCATTTCCCACAACAGCGACTGCATTCGCGGTTGGCAATGCATTGTTGTCAGTGCTTACACTCGTGATATTCTGCAAAACAATAGCTAATAACCATCAATATATTCATCAACCTTTGAAAATAATTAAATTGAATAATTTCCGAAGAAAAATCTCAAGCAGCTATTTTCCACAAACCGCGTCAACCAATCACTCGTAACCCAATATTTAAAATAAATTGGAAAAATATCAAAATTCGTAACGAAATTATATGTTTAGGTGTAATAATCGACAACAAATTATCAGATACAAAGAAAAGTTTGTCTCATTGCCGCAAGATTTCATAGAATGCAGGGCTCTAATTGCGATTTGAAATTCCCAATTTAAAAATTATATTGTAAGGATCCTAAGTTTTAATAACGTTTATTTTATTTTACAAACTGTACTATCACTTCTTTTTTTCTACTTCCGGCCAGAATTAACTGCTTTAACTTGTTTATGCAAATTGTCTTGCTAACGCCCAAGTATTTAAGTTGTGGCTTTTTGCCAAGAGTTAGGGAGAGAGAAGGAGTTTTAGGAAGCAAGCCGCTTGCCACTGCAGTTTTAAGAGTTTTCACTCGGTTGCTGGTTGCCTTTAAGGCCAGAGATTTAGCCCTCTTGATATTTGCAAACGTATTGTAGTTTCAGCAGCTCGGCGTACTACATACGTACCCTTTTTAAATAAAGGCCAGTCTTAGTGCTAGGCATTTGTGTACTAATTCGAAGTTAGCTTTTAGTTAGAGTTTCAGTTAGTAGTTTTATATTCTTACGTTCAGACCACAAGTGGTTGGTCTCTGTATTCCGAAGTTCGGAAGTACCTGTAAAGTATTGAAAATAAAGGGTTTCGTATACCCTTCCTGCTTGTACCGTCTGTTATACACAAATCTTGAACATAGCTTGAGTAAGCTCCCTGTTCTTATTCAGGACATACCATGTTTCCAAAGCAAAGTCCAAAGAGAAACACAAGTCCTGATAATATATAGTACCGTAATAGAAAAAAAAAAAAAAAAAGTCACATATGGCATCAGCTTAGGCAATTCGTACGACAGAAAAGAAGAGACTGCTGATTAATAGTATTCAACGACCTTTTCTTCTCAATATATCAAGAATGCATAGAACTAGTTCTACTTTTGCACTACAGATTTTAACAAGAATAACACCTCTGCCTACCAAAGCACAATTTGAAGCTACTGGAGCACAAGTCCTACAACTTAATATCTGGCCAGTGCCTTTGAGAATAGTTTTAGTCCATCAAACTACGAGCTCAGGAACTCTTATCTCGATTGCCACCAGGCCCAAAAAGAACTCACCACCAAGACATTAGTATCTGTACCATCTCATCATTTAGCTTTCAAGGATGGTTCCAAATTAGAAGGAAATACAGGCTAGGCGTATGTCCTCAAGAGGCACAACAAAATTATTAATACTTGGAAAGGCCACCTAGGGAGCAAAAAGAGTATATTCCAAGCAGAATTAATTCCAATGCAGAAGATACTAGACTATACAAGAAGAACCAACATAAAAAAATTGCGCTACAAATCAGACTGCCAATCAGCATTACATGTTATTAGAAACACTCAACACAGTTTCCATTTAAAAAATATTAAGAAGATGCAAACAACAATACATTATTATTTCATGGATCAAAGGACGTGAAGGAAATGATAGAAACGAACAAACTTGTGCTGCACAAGATACAGCAACAATAAACAGCGATATACTGTACATGGCCGATATGCTGTACTTGTGTTATCTCACTTTCAATCTGCGACAAATAGCAATGACAGCACAGCAACAAGAATGGGATCTCATACAAAAGAGAAGGACGACTTTCAGTATATTTAAAATTCGTGATACCAGTAGACTTAAAGTAGCTACTTCACAGTTAAACTAGATTCCGTCAGGTCATGGTCCATTCCTTACCTACTTTTACTTCAGAAGCATTTCATCAACGGATAACTGCATCTGCGGCCAATTAAGAGACAGTCCACATTATCTATTCAAATGCCCATTAACAAAAGATTTCCACATTCCTCAACCATCACAAATAAATCCAAAATATATAGCTAGCCTTATGAAAAAGAAAGCACACAGAAGAAATATCCTCAAGTAATGAATATGGTAGCAAACACAGGCAAAGATATATGTCTTCCCTGATGAAGAAGTTTCTCATCTGAAGAAAAACTCCATTACGTGATCTGTTCATTCCCCTTCAGTGTTTTGCATGCATAAAACGCATATTAAGTTATAAGCTTTCAATTACAAGGTCACTCATGAGCTGCATTCTATCCACTCATCATAGCAAGCATTGCACCGTCATAACTACAAGAACCTCACATACTATGGGTTCGTTCTCAAAAATCTGTTCAATCATTTGTGCTGGAAAAATACTACATCATGATAAAGCAACTAACTTACAGAAAGTTGCAGTCGGAGAGAAGCAACTGTAGACTCAGTAGTTGATAGTAGGCGAAGCACTGGTGCCTTCGCCTACTATCAACTAACTAAACTATAGGCAAATCGCCCTCAAATTGCTTTGCCTTAATCAATTAACCTATCAAAGTATAAGTGGGAGGGGAAATAATTTTTCTTTACAGTGTTACACAAGCGTTGTATACCTTTGCATTAATATCGTATTAATATGTTGTTTTAGTAGCAGTCAAAAAATTAGGATTATGTCTAGTCAGGGAAAGAAAAACAGATATTTACCACATATGTTGTAACGATGAGCGTTTTGTTCTGCAGTAAAAGGGTGTCGTATTCATTGGACATATTTTTTGTGATGTTGATCCCTTTACCTGGTGTCCATGTTCCAATCTAAAATGATACACATTGAATGCAAGATTTTATTAACATACTTGATAAGCATCAAAGCAAAAAGCCTTTAACTTCAATAAGTGACAAATTTATTTAATTAACTATACATAAAATTTTTTATTCGATTCCACTATTGTTTGCAGACTGTTTTTTTTTTTTTTTTTTTTTTTTTTTTTTTTTTTTGTAATAATATATGTAAAATAAATGTTTTGCTAACGTAAGAGAGTTAAAGGTTCAGTTCATTCAACACAATTTAAAAACAGTGTAATCGAAATATATTTATAGTTGTAGAATATTATTTATAAATTTATTATAATAGTATAAATATATATTCCGATAATGATCACTTTAAATGATATTAAGTAGTTGCATGACGTAATTTTTCTTCCAAGAACGCTTTTTTTAATGATATGTTGAAATTTTGCTCTGTGCTATTGCCTACATTTTGACACAAACATCTATGTTCTGATCTTTTCATGCTTCGCGTCTCATTGCATTACGCTACTACGGCTTTAATAATATGTTCTCACTCATGCAGCCATTCCGTACCGCAATAAAGCTTTATAATCCACATAGCCTGGAACATTATCAATTTTCTAATGGGCTGTCCTTTCTGTACGCATAAATTATTTAATTTATATTCCAAATTAAAACAGTAAGTTGATTAACAATTTGATTTTACATGCATCTTAGTAATTTATATTTTTAATATTTCCCATTTTTATAATATAGCTAATTGATATAATAGAAAAACTTGTTTTCTAATGGTTTTGTTAAAATTTATTGTAAGAAAATGCTGTATTTTTTAATTTAACTGGTACAGTTTTTAATTTTCGGGCTGGCCTCTAAAAGCTTTATAGCTGAATGAATTTATCGGCCGGGGAAGCTGGGGGCTTCGCCTTTGTAGTAACATAGTAACAGTTTCTAATTTAGCGAATTTGATCATTTTTATGACAGCTTTTTATTAGCATTATTAATAAAGATGTTTCTAATGTCACATATTACATTTTATTCAAAATAACATTAGAAAATTTCAATCATGTCGAGTCCATAGCAGTCAAAAAGAGGTCGAATGCTTTTAAACTAACTGGAGAATATCTAAATATGAAAAACCTGGTTTTTATCATTTTTTTTTTAACTTAAGCATTTGGTTACAGAAATGTAAGTTAGCTGGCATCAAAGCAATTTTTTTTCAAATTTATGAGATTCGGCATTTTTATTTTCATGCGTTGTCAAAATAAACTCAAACTTTCTAAATGTAGATCAGAGACCTAAATCAAAGATATGATTAATTACATCTAGTCATTTTGCTATTCGTATTTATTTTATGGCTGTTTGAATACTTCTCCAAAATTTGAAATTTAGAATGCAAAACTACAAACCTTTTCTAATCCATCTTTTGTGAGATAGATTAGATCCAACACAAATTCAGATCGGAATCCTTGCTCATCAAATTTTACTTTCCCTGTAAGGCCTTGGATGCTACTCTGAAATAGTGAATGATGTTAGTATACTGAGCTTGAACTTGGATTTTCGAAAAATGAGCACAGGTATACAAGGAAGAGTTCAAAAACAGATAAACTCTCGATTTAAAGAATTATAAGTATTTGCATGAAATAAAAAGTTAAACTTCAGCTGTTAATATGCAATTAAATTTCCTGTGAATATAACTGTATTCAAAATTAAAAGATAGTTTTTCCTTCTTTGGCTCTTGAAATAGCCTTGTGTTTTGCTATTACTATTGCATTTTGATATAGATTTCTTTCATGAGTTAGGTCATTTATTTGTAAAGTTAAAACTTTTATAGTAGCGATTTATGAAGTTATTCTTATGCCATTTCTTTGCATATATTTATATACCAGCTTTTTAAGAGAAATATTATCAGTTCATACGAGATTTATGATTGCTATATCGCAACTATTTGCTGCTAACGTGTCGCAGACTGTTTGCTGTTGTAACATTATGTGGAAATATGTCATAAACATTCTGATGTCAAAGCATTATATATGGGTGCATTATTTATGGATGCAAGATTTAAAATAAAAGCTTTTTTTAAAAATTATGTCATTTAGAACTATTCAAAAGCTCAACACTTAGTTTCAGTTACAGCAATCATATAAACAGCTCGTTGAATATGATTGAGATATACATCGACTTGTTCCAGAATGAAAAGTAAAGAAATAAAACGCAAAGCAGCGATTTAAAATAAAATTTAAAAAAAAAAAAATGAAATGACAACTATTTTCATACTGTATATGATTTTTAGTATCAGCTTTTCGAATTTTGGGGCAATTCCAGTTTTATACTTTAACAGGCTGTTTATTTAATGAGTAACAGGAACAATTTCTGAAGAATTCATCGCCCAGTTTCAAAGAAATTCATAAGGCAACTTAAAGAATATAATTGCGAATTAATTAGGGAGCCAATGATATGGTTTCCAAGAACTAATGCCTGAGAATCAGATCATGAGCTCGCATAATTCAGGGTTAAACTGTAATTGTTTTTTTCCTCTTTCAGCTATTTTTTTGTATAAATGTTGTAATGCATTTGTTCTGAAACATAAAATTGTCTTCTATATAATTTGTGAATTTATTATATTATGTAAAAGCTCAAAAATGTGTTATTACTTCAACTGCACATGGCAAATAAAAGTGCTACCTGCTGGCGCGCAGATTTCACTTAATATCAAGAGTTAAAAGGAAATTGTTTGTACAGTTTTTTTTAATAATAATCAGCTAGTGATTCGGAAATCAGAGCATTGAAATATTGTAGGAAATTATGCGCAAAACAAATGTAGTTTATAAGACGTATCCGTATTGAATGTAATAGAAAGTAGATAAAAATAGACATATACTCTAAATCTACGTAATACTAAAGATTTAGCACCTTGATTTCGACCAATTTCGATTGAAATAAAATGTTTTAGGATCATAAATTGTCAGGTTTGCGAAAATGTTCTATTTATAAAAGCGACTAAAGAGTTACCTCTATCCCTGTATCATTTTCGCAACAAATGGAAAAATCGAGAGTTTTCTGTTTGTGGCAAACAGTAATATTTTCTTTTTTTTATTAAATAAATGATTTTAGTGAGCATGCAGAAAGGTTCAACCACAAAGCATAAAGCGGGGTAGTTGGACAACAATAATCTAGCTACAGGCATGCGGGAAGGGTTATCTACAAAACAGGCTCATATAACATGAAAAAGATAAACTTCTTTAAAGCAGATAATGACGCGTTTGGTTGGTAAGATATGTAAAACTTTATTTAAAGTACTTAAAATGTAAGTTTATTGAGACTGTTACATTTTTTTAAAATTAATTAATTAATAGCATTTCAAAAATTAATTAGCTTAAGTTTATATTTAAAAAAATTGCAACTTACTTATTGAAAGTATTTTCATAAATATTTGTGTAGTTTTATCATTAAGCTTTCCATAGTTATACCAGCGATTTTGTAATCTCTGCAAAAGTATGTTTTATACTGAAAGTGAAGCTTATGCTTGTGCATAGCAGAAGCCATTTGAAAAAAGTTTTAAATGTTTAAATAACTTCTCTCTTTTTAAAACTTCTTTTTTTTCCCTTTATTTCTCTTTCCTTTTTTTGAAGTACAGATAGAAATGTTTCTCGTAAGTCCATTTAACTCTGGGAAATTTAAATAAAGTACTATTGTTTCGTTAAAATTGTTTAAGTATTATGTAATATTACATGTACCATTATCTCACTTTGGCCTAGGTTGGACTTACGATTATTATGTTTAGGTTATTTTTCAAGAAATAATTGCATTAATTATTTTCGTTTCTGTATGTCAAAGTCAAGTTCTTTCAGGTATTCAGTCATGTTTCAAAAATCAATCCTGAGAAACAAAACTCGCAAATCAAAATCTATTAAAGCATCCATCATGGCAAAAATTTCGTCAGGGATATTTCTAGAATGCCTTAAATGCCATTCTTTATCAATATCACAAGGTCGTGAAAAAAATCTGAAAGCAATAAACTGTAACAAGTTCAAAAAATAGTTACAGGGTACGTATGTAATAGCAAAAAAGAATAGTTTTAAAATGAAAAAAGTAACTTTGCTATAAGGGACAACTGTTTAAATTGAACTATAGTTAAATATAAATGATACTAAGAAAATGTTAAGATTTGCTTATTTACTTATGCTGCAGTTTGTAACCAAACTGTATTCTAGAATTGTAAATAAATTTTAAGGTACTGTAAATATTCTATCTCAAGAAATGTTTGATATCGAATGGCTGGAGTAGTGTGCTTATTTGAAATTCATGCTATATTAAAGGCTTTAATATCAAATATTCAAAATATACGTACATGCTGCTTTAATAATTTAATTTAAAAGCACCAATGAAAACAAAAATACAAAGTTTTTTAAATATGACTTTGCGGAAAGAGGTATACATTTATTTAAGTATCACTGCTGAATTAACAAAACAAAAAAAAAATTACTAGTAAATATGAGCTCATTTATCAAAAATTTTATTTCATAGCACATAAAGTCCTAAATTCTTGATAGCAAAAATACGGAAAAATCCTTGATTGCATGAACGTAAATGTATCGCAATAACATTTGATTCGAAAATATATTATTCTTTCGTATGGCAATTATGCAATTAAGTAATGAATGAAAACGTTTGCTGGAAAAATTCGCTTGTTAGTTTTAGAAGAAAATTATATTTGTATTATGAAATGAAAGCTTGAATGATTGCAAATGATTTAGTCAAAAGATTAAAACAAATACTTAAAATTTTAATATTCGAATTCAGAAGTTCAGTATTTAATTACTATAGCCAAAATGAGAGAATGACTAAAGAGTTCAGCCGAATATTAAGGCAATATTTCTTAGGAAAAGAATGTTAAAAAATAGCAAACTCTAATATTTCTCTCTCATTCAGCAGTATATGTAAATTGAAGATATTCTGGGTATCCTTTTTTCAAATGGCCAGTAGTGTTCTTGAAAATTAATTTTGAAAGTAGCATTAGGTTGTAAGTGAATTATGCTTAAATGACTTTAACTTTTGTGAATTATTAAGTATTTGGTAGATTCCTTCAGTCATTACCTGCCGTACTGAGGTTTTAAGAACAAAATTTAATACAATTATGCGTGATGTACTTGTACTTGACGTGTTTATTTCATATCATTTTTTAACGAGAAAAATAGATTAGAAATTCTCTTGCTTGAAATGGATATGAATATAAAGTAGCTGATTAATAACTTGATCAGTAGTGTAAAATTTGTTATAAAAGCTTGTAGTACACTTTATCCAATGTTTTTGTTTCATCTAGTTAGTTTTCATTTAAATCAAAGTGCAGTTGAATCGTTGAACAATTTTGTGAATAATTATTGCTACAATAAATTCAAAAGAAGGAAAACTGCTGTATTATTTTTGTAAAATTATTGTTTCGAAACTAAGATTACAGTTTTTAAGCGATTTCATTCTTTACATAAATGCGCATTGTACATTTCAGTTTTTATAAATATCCAGTTGTCAAAGTTTATCTTAAGAAAAATTACATGATTAAATCTATTCGAAAACTCTCTTGTTGAAATATACCCAACAAATTATCCTTGCTTGGAGTTCTTTGGAGGAAACGATTGATACTCATTATTTCATGTTAGATCAAAATTAAAGTATGTTATATAAAGTGCTGGGTGTGATATGTAAAGTCATAGGATAAAGTTTGCCTTGTAAGGATTAAATTACTCAAAATTAATTATGATGACGTCTGGTATAAACTTGGTTAGTTTATTTGGAAATTAAATGGTCTTCCAATTAAGAGTAATATTCATAATTAGATGTCATCTTATTCTAATGTAGTAGTAGTAGTTGTTGTATTAAAAGCAGAAAGAAAGCAAAATACTTAAAACTCTTGCTAAGGACATTAATATTAGTGATATATGTTATTCTTTTCTCGCCACCAAATGTATTAGATTCTTGTTTGTGCAATGAAAAATCGGATACATTACTGCCAAACCGATAAAAAAAATATTAGTAAAATTTCTAAAATTTATTATCCTATTCGTGAAAAGTTATTTACATACTTTAATTTCAGTCGTCTTATTGTTATCAGTAATGTATTTGCAATCTGAATTTTTGCTTCAGATATAAAATTATGTTAAACTTGAGTCTAAGTTATTAATGTAAATGCATAATTTTTGCTTCAGATATAAAATTATGTTAAACTTGAGTCTAAGATATTAATGTAAATGCATAAATAAGTATAACGGACTTTTCATACAATACTTTTTCTCTCAGGTAACAATTAACTTAATTTAGAATTTTAAATTTTTTCTGTTTGTAAGAATAATTTGTAAGCATTTCAGTGCATAGTTGCAACTTCATCACCTCACGTTCGCATTAATTCAAAATTTCATCACACCTGGTAAAATGAAAACTTTCTCAAAGTCGAGTTTGTTTTCATATTTATTTAAGATACGACCCGATGAATTTTGTTCACTATAATTTTATTACAGACAGTTTATGTATCGTTTTTAAATCTACCACAAGGTTGCTTGTAATTAATCTTACTGCATGTTTGTTTTGCACGTTTTGCTGAGCAATAAACTTATTACCGTTGTCTGTTACGAGAAACATCTCAATAATGACATTCATATTTGTCAGAAAGCAGTATTATTTCCCTAACCTTTCTATTTTAAAAATTACGCATTTTTTAAAACCATTTAGCAATATTTTTAATTTGATTAATTGATGATGAGTTATAATTACGAAGATGACATTAAGCACAGTCCATATGGAAACATTTCATTAAATATATTTTAAACCTAAATTTAAAACTGCTAGAAGCTTGACCACATCGTTTCCCCATGAAAAATTGACTAGCGAAATAAAAGTTTGCGAGAGAGTCTCTTGTCAAATCAAATAAAAATTTTATAAACCATAGTCTTTTTTTATTTTATTCGTTTTTACGAAACGAAAACTGAAAATTAGAAGTAGGGAATTCACTAAGAAAAGCAAAGACTAGCATTTAAGGCATTTTTTGGTCTAGTAAACTTAAAGGAGAAGGGATTAATTGGGCGGATTGATTTTATGACACTCACATTGGCTGCAGTGACATTAGCGAGACATCTGCAGGAAGGAACTGCCCGTCTATTAACACTAGCACGATTGTTCGCCTGCAATGCGAATATATGAAATGAACTGCTATTCTGGAATTGTTTAATTTCAATTCAATCAAAGTGAACAAGTGAAATAATTAAGACACTGAAATTAAGACACTGACTAAAATGCTTGGGAATAAACTTGATAAAAATAAGTTAGTTTTTCGTAAATATTTGCTCTTTGCATCAAGCTATGAAAGAGAGGAGAATAAATGAGTGCACCGAGTCTGGAGGTGACACAGATTGGATCCTAGGTCTCTACAATATACAGAGCACAAGGACATCTATGTACACATGCAATATAGGTAAAAACACAAAAGCACGTTGCGAAATCTATTATTAAAGAAACCATCTATCATTTTCGTACAATTAGAAAGTGATCAAACAATGCCTTTAAGTCATTCCTCGGAAAGAGAGGCATTGCAAACTTCCATTGAATCTATGTTTTGTTATAAAATATAAATATTTATGAGTAATAACAGCATAGATAGGATATTAAATTTTAATAAGCTGAACAACTATTACAATATTTTTCAGTATTATTTAATAACTCTCAACTGACTATGACGTCTGTCAGTGCATTGTAATACTTTTAATGATAAAAGCTTCCGGGACTATTCTTTGTTATTAATAAGATTTGCTAAAAAAAGTTAAAGCGTAAAGTCTTGAGTTATTTACAAATTATTATGCAAATTATTAAACTTTTGAGATAATATAGCCTTTTCTGATCTTCCTTTATTTAAAGTTTATAAGTTATTACAGAAATTCATCAAAAGAAAAGATTTAGTTAAGGTTAAATTTAAAATTTTAGTTCTCAATACATGACAGTAACTTATAAATTTATTTATATTAAATGAATTTAACACCTTTTTTTTTGGGGGGGGGAGGAATATCGAATAAAATGCAAATATTCTGAAACGTCCTTTTGGCTTTGAAATGGGAAGGGTATTTTGAATTTATAATTTTCAATGTATTTTACTTTGAATTGAAGCAAACGTATAACCACTTCCAGTTCTGACTATAGAATTTTAGAAACTTATAAAATATTTCAAGACATTATAATAAAAAGAAAGATCTTTTCTTCATTTGCAACTTTTTTAGTAAATAAATATTTATCTTCGTCCAATTTTCTAAGCCATAGCATCTAACATCTCATCTATATAATCAGAAAAAGACATTATGAATACTTATTAGAGATGCTTTGTCTTCGCAGACGGGGGCAAAAATAATCACGAGGATTCAAATGACGCGTATAGAATGAAATTTATCTGAGTCTGTCATTTTTTAATTGCATCATTCTGTTATATGTAACATATCTAGGGGCAGTCGGCATTCATCATCAGCAGGGCTGCAGATGAGGTCGTAGACCTGAATGGTGATCCATTGATAATACACATTTTGTTAGTGGCTACACTGTAGTTTTTAGGATAATGTGCGTATAATTACAATCTTGTTATCGTATTGCTTATTTGCTTTAAATATTTAGTTTGAAAAACTAAGCATAAAAGTATTAAGAATGAACGATAGGCCTTTCGTTTTAGATGAAAGCTATGATTTCTGTCATTAGGACAAAAACACGGTCATCTTTAAGGGTAGTGAGGATGCTACATTATGCAAATGATTTATTGGTATTTCAGAGGATTACTTCATTCCCCTCCTCCATGCTGAAATGAAAAGATACACCATGATAAGGATTTAGCTCTCTAGATAATCAAATATGATACACATTCATTCGAAATGTCATGGTCTCTGCATGATCTTTGAATGAACAATTAATCACAGACATAGAAATCTGATTTTCATCTTTCATTTCTTTCCAACGTTATGTCCGATCACTTGGACTAATGTGCTTTTCCTTTTTCACATCCAGATCTGTTACACATAGTTTTTATAATTCCTAAGCAAATCTTAATGTTAGATCGATAACATATGTTTTTTTTTCCTAGCGAAGTTAGTTGCATGTATTTACTATTGGTTTGACTCCATTAACTTCAAGGAGAAATCGTTACTTCAGTGAGTTTTTTTCATCTGAAGAATTTTATCAATTTTTATTTATCACATCATTTTCCACAGAATAAATTCTGCCCAGGGCTGATTAAAATGACTTTCTTATAGAGCAAATTCTTGGGGGAATTCTTTCATGGTTTACCTTGAATTACTCGTATTTTTGCATTGTTTTTTATAATTTTTGCTGCATTTAAATTCATTACAGCTTTATGGTTTGGGTATGAATTAACTGATGGAAAACTGCTTTCCATGTGTTTAATAGAGGATTTATGATACTTAAATGACATTGGAATGTAATAATCACATCTTACATTTATTTACTGGGGAGTGAGCCGAAAATTTCTGTTGAAGTATAATAATAATGAAATGTATAGTTTGCTTCGCGAAGCAACTGCTCGAAAATTAAATCATTCAATACACTAAATGTTTACAGCAGGGTAATACAATTTATTATATTTGAATATGCATAAAATCCTTTGGGGTTGTGGAATAATTCTCTGTTTGGTCTTTTCTTAAGAACTGCGTGATGTTTTAAGAGCTCAAGGAGTTGTGAAATAGCATAACTTAATGCAACTGAAATGTCTTAATCTTTGAGAAAGTGAATAAATCTCAGTTACAGAAAAAGGAAATTATACATTTAATAAATTAGATATTAGAGTGTCTGGCAATCATTAGTATTTTAATATTAGAAATCCAATAATACAGCAACTAGTAACCATTTATTACAGTTCTAAACGGATTGTTTTTATACTGATCATTATTCTTCAATTCATTTGTATAGATTTGTTAATAAAATTTTAAAATATATTAATTGTTTCCTTTGTTTACATGACATTACAGATACAAAATATTTTGCAAACGGTACTTCTAATTTTAGACCATCAAACACCGAACAAAAACTAATGCATATTTCAAATATTAACCACTTCACCTAAGTGGAGCTTGAATTCCTATTCCTGAAGTTAATAACTAACATTTTAATTTCGTAGCAAATGAAATTCTAACATTCGAAACCTTCCCAAAGCCCAAACAGACAAAAGCTCCTGACATTAACTTCCACTCAGATTACACACTGGCGTAAAGAGCCGCCGGAATTTTTATGTTTTTCACCCTTGTGGCCTATAGAAACCTAGTTTTCTTAAGGAAAATAACCATAGTATACTTTGCTATGAAAAGCTATCATTATTTAGATGTAGAATAAATCTTGAATAGAAGTATTAAGATGTACAATAAATCTTGAATTAAGTATTATTGAATCTTGAATGATCTTGAATAAATCTTGAATTAAGAATCAGTATTAAGGTACAGCGTGGCGTCTAAGGAAATTCTCCCTCACAACTATTAGTCATAAAATGTTTTCTAAGAGCTAAAATACTTTTTACTTTTGTTTAGATACTTAGTTTAAAATTCGGAATAATATGATGAACAATAAATCCAGTGCATTTTACAGATTTTAAGGTAGAAAATGAATAGTAAGCACAAAATTTAGACAAAGATACCATTCTTCTTATTTTTTTTTTTTTTTTTTTTTTTTTTTTTGCTTGGATAATATAGGATCCCTGCAATCTGTTTTACAGTAGAATTGCGATTTGCTGCATTGCGAATTTTGAATGAATTTCAATAAATTTAACGTCTACTAAAACTAAGAAAATAAATTTAACGTCTTTGATATTTCCAGTTGATAATGCAAACCCACAGAATTAATTTTTTATTAAATGAAACTTCTGAATTTTTTTTCACAATTCACTGGAACTATTAAGACAATTAACAAACAATACGTTTCAAAATACCATCCTTTGGAAACTTAAAAATATACTAGGAATCTACACATTTCTTTGAGGAAATAAAGCTGATCCCTTTGTAGACGTAATTAAAACATATAAATTGTAGATTTTATGCATTTCCTCAGTATAAAAGTATCATTTTCATCAAGTTTATTTAAGTAACAGCCATTCCTATAATAAAGTGAAAATTAAATTTAAGCAAATGAAAAATTTTTGTTTTCTATTTCATACTGGTGCTCAATGGGGACTAGACAAATTGGCGTGATTAACTAGTAAAAGGTAATCTAATTACATCGTTTTCATCACACACATATTTTTAGACGACACAGGGTTTATAATTGGCGGGAAAGGCACATGCTGTTTGTTACGTTTCCAATAGACATCTTTTATCATATTCATTAAACTTAGTACAGTTTATAAGCAATTTAGTACACATTCTGATATTAAGAGGACATGATAAAGAGAAAACATGAAATATAACAATATTATGATGAAAGAACTCACAGGTTTCATGAAATTAATGATGCTGCTTCCATCCAATCCCCTGAGACCACTGTCACAAGAAATAGGAGGGAAGTCTATTGATTTACTGGCATCCAGGTCCTCAAGAGCCTTTGCAAAAAGCTGGACCGCATCGTACATCAACGCTGTTTCTGTCTGAAGAAATGAGAATATGAGTTCAGTTTTAAAACAAAACATCTGCATATACTCAAAGCATTATGCATGTTTTTTCATTTATACACTTTTTAGAAAGCCTGTTTATTTGCATGAGAACTCACAAGTTTTATTTTTTTGCTTATTAATACTTTTCTCTTCTATTTCACATCAGCGAACAAGAAACAAACATTTTTTTTTTTTTGTCCTCATGCATTCTTCTGAATATTTTTCTCATACATTCAATTAATGATATAGCATTTGCAAGCCAGATTCAATACATTTATGCTGTCATTAGATCAAGTTAATTTCCTCTTTAATCATAATAAAAACGTCTTTTCTAGTCCCTTTTGTTTGTATTTCCATTCAGTATAACTTCAAGTCTAATTGTTATTAAATATTGCATTATAGAAAAGTAAATAACATACACGTATAATTCATTATATTATAGAAAAGTAAATAATATACACGGCGCACTTTAGTTATCGCTTTGCACAATCTCTTAAAAAAATAATTGGAAATTTTACCTGTTAACATACAGGATGTTATTAACTTCAAATTTTATTTGAAGCTTTCTAATCATTAAGCCTCAAATGAATTTTATCTATTAACTTTAAAAAAAGTTAAATAAAGAATAGCTACAATTTTTGGAGTCTGTACCAAGTAGGCATGAATATATGAGCAACTCTTACTGATTTTTCTGCATTCGCTTAGTACATTTGCATTGCGTATATGGAATGAGAATATAAAACATGCGCAGATAGTTTATGTATACATATTAAAAGGTATACACACTTCCTGTTCGTATTACTCAAGTCAAATTTATTAAATAAAGTTTACAAGAAGTGTTTATGCATGCATGAGATTAGAAGAGGTCAAATACTTTTGGGTATGTATTTAAAAATGCGTAAAAGGAAATTACGTTTAATACAAGTTGACACGAGTTTGCATTTTAGAAACCACAAAATACATATGGTATGTAAAGAATTTTGTAATGTTTAAGTATAGCTACTACACTACTTCTACCGAAGTAAAAATGAAATTTTATTGTACTCGAATAGTCTTTATTGGGAAATCCAGCTTCCTTATGGCTCCAGCCCATTTTGTGTTGAGTTCTACAACTAATCCTTGAAGATCAGCGTTATTCTCATCCACTAATCGAAATCCAGTAATATTTGTCTTTCCATATTTAAAATCTTCCATGTCAATCGTATGAAGATCCTACAGAATAGTACAAAACAGGTTATTAACTTTTATTTCAATCCTGTCAGCGCGTGGGAAAGGAAAACATTTTTTAAAGCTAAATATAACATTTATGCATAAATAATAGATATTTTCTTATCATCAAATTAATCTTGTCACTTATTACTATTTTTATGTAAAATATATCTGATTTATTTTAAACTGAATGAATGGGATAATTTTTAGGATTAGGATTCGTATTTGATTAAAAAAATTTAAGTCATTATAAACTTTTTAAAAATAATACAATAATTAATTTAAACATACACTGAAACAGTACATGCATTAATAGAGTTCAAAGTATTTTAAACAGTTACTGTAGATGGCGATCAAACCATTTCAAACAATTATTGTTGCTTGAAGTAGTTTGATAATTTAAACAACATAAGTGAATTCTCATTACTATTTGAATAGCTTCAAAAATGAAAAGGGAAAAATCAACAACTGGAAGCTATAATTATCTAAACATGAATGATGTTTAATAAATACAATACAGCTGTTATAAAAGTTGATTAATATTGTTATAGTTGACAATAATACTTACAAGTGAAGTAATGAGGTAATTATGGCTTTCTGTCATCATTCCAACTTGTTGAGCCTATTAAAAAAACGCAAAAATTACTTCAATACAAAGAAATAAAATTCAGCTTTCATTATTTGCATTTACATGCATGACATTTTCTTGTGATGTTTAAAATATTTAGAAGTTCCTTCTCAGATCGGTAACAAAGTTTCAGCTGATTAAAAAGTAGAAAGGTTTTACAATGGAAAAATTCAACTATTCTGGTAGACTGGCTGACAGATTTTTGCGTATTCAGATGTATACTGTAGAATAGTATTTTTTTATGTTCTGTTGCTCTAAATGGGAGGATGTAAATGGTGAATGCCGTTTTTTGATCTATGATCGACGTTCATTTAACTGGAAATGCTAGAATGTACATTGTTCTATACACAAGAAAAACACTATAACAAGCATTTCCTATCCTAGACTCAAACTTATCACAATTCTTAAATATTTTGTGTTAAAAGTACTTTATCTTGAATTAAAATGCAAATAGATTTTATTTTCAGGATGTAATACCATAACTTTATTTCCTGTCTTGCTCTAGTTTTTTTCCCAACTTTATTTAACTGCATACGGAATAAGTCGCACTTTTAATTTCTAAAATTAAAAGTGCGACTTATAAAATGTCAGTCCTGATTGATGTAAACAGTAAAGGAAACAAAAGCAAATAATTAGTAATTAAAATTAAACAATATATAAATGTTTTTCCAGAAAAAATGGAGTACATTTTACTTATCTATTCAACTGCTATTCTTCCAATCTACGAAATTGCTACTATTTCTTACTGCATAAAAAACATTTAGTACATTTTCATCCTAGAGGGAAGAAATGAAATTTTACAATGTCAGATATTTTATCTTGCGTAAGCCAATATAAAAATACGTTAATTAGTTTTGTGCTACCCGTATTTTATTTGCACGCAAGTTATGGAATGTGGCTGCTGCAACAGTTAACCGCCTCAATATTGGTAAGTGCGTTAGAGAAAAGTAATCTTTAAAAGGCATCTTTAAGGAATACTTAATGAGCTAGCGAAGAATAGAAAGAAAGCGTGAAAAGAAACCGAGAAAAAGAACGAAAAAGTTAAAAAAAAAGCTGTCAGCGTTTATAGAGAGGAAAAATCAGAGAGGCCTAATAAATCGCGAGCAACAACACGCAATCCTTTTGCGCGCTTCGACTAGACAGTAAGGCACAGATAACATTCTGAACTCGCATGAAGCATGACACACTTTTATACTCCAAGAAAGTTTTGAAATAAATATCTGCTTCTTCTATTTGAAATACCCTGAATAATGATTTAATCTAAATCAGTATTAAAGAGATAAATATCAAATGAAATAAAAAATTAATTACAAAATGCATTAGAAAAATTAAATAAAGTAAAACAATTAAAAGGCAAAAAACTAAAGATGCTAAGAAATAACAGCAAAAGTAAAATAAACATTACTACTTTGAGCAGCATTTAAGTTAAAACTGTGTTCAAATATTTCATGAAAAATATTTGCCGTCATTTTAATAAATTCAAAACTTGTATATGAAAATTCATTTGTGTTTCTTATAGACGAGAACTTAATTCGTGAACTTTTTCAAAAGATACTATAGTGAATTTTATTTACTGTAATGAATTCTTGTAAAATAATGCAGATTTTATACGGATGATTACTTAGTAAGTTAAATATATCTAATGAAGAGTATAACTTTATAAAATGATTATCATTTTTTACTGTCAGGATAGAAACTGTTCCTTTTTAGAGAACTTGCAATAAACATGAAGAGGCATTGGTTCAGCGGGACGTTAAATGTTTTCTCGAAACAGTCTGCAAATATTCCGCTTCTTGAAAAGATAGCGTACCAATGTGTACCTAAATTCTTTTCGTTTCTTAAATCATTCAACTTTGCTCGAGGATTCACTTCTTCACTTGGAAAGCAAGGCATACAAAGTAGCTACTATCGATACAGTTTTATTAAAACAAACAGCTCACAAATAAGGGAATTTTCGGTAGAGCTTCTGATTTAGCTTCATAATTAAGTAGTGCCGGAGCTACCCACATTTGGAGCTCTAATGCACTAAGATTAGAATTATTATTTCAGTTAAAAATTGAGAAGTTTCAAAGCCGAGTTCCATCAGAATTTAAACATTGGGCTAATTCTTATCGTAGAGATTAGGTAAATGCACCCCTTTCCTTGAAAACATAGTAAGAATAAGGTAAACAAATATTTGTTACATTAAAATATTTAAAAAGCTATTAAAGATAAAAATCAGAGTAATCGATGTAAATTTGCAACCAATTCTTCAGCTGCAGGAGTGTAAATGACGGCAATAGAAACCTGTCTTCACACGATTACAGACAAAATGTTCCAGGAAAGAGAGAAGGGGGAAACAAAGCCAGTAGAGCTATCTATTGACAAAAACATGAGCAAGGATCATTAACCAAAATTGAAAGATTTTTATGAATGTAAAACACTTCAAGGATGTCTAGTTCTCCAATAACGATGTTTTGGAATAATTTTGGCTGCAAAGAAATGGAAACTGTGATCTTTTGACCAGAAGTGTTGGGCAGTAGGGGATTTATGAATTTCTTTTCCTTAGATATGTCTTATTGCCCTTAATGAAAAATTTAAAGGCTTTCCTTGTCTGACCAGCATATATGAAGTCACACAGGCAAAGAATATTATAGATAGCCCAGGACTTCATATCCGGAATGAGGTCTTTAAGTATCGAAGAGCGAATATTATTGGTAGAAGATTAAAGGGCATATTTTCTCTTCAGCGTATTCTTATGATAAAAATTTAAAAAGCTGTTTAATGCCTGAAGAAGGGATCTTGCTGAATTGCTTTCCAGACGCAAGTAGAAATGGCCAGATCTCAGTTTTCAAGTAAGTATTATAAGAAGCTACCTACTAAAAACGGTGATATGTTCTACAAAACGGTGATAGCATAATCACGCATGTAGAAGTTCTTAATTTCGACTTCAAACCCAAGCCTAGATTTTAGTGCATACCGAAGCCCCCACGAATGGCCGAGTATGGCCACGAATCACCACTGAATACTGATAGTTTGACCCTGAATAAAACTAGGGAGAACGGACTGGCTGCATGAATGCCTTTCGCAGTTTTTTCTATGCCTAACGTAAATACGAACCAATTTCCCTCAGAAAGTTCTCGCCGAGTGGAAATGCTTAGAGGATGGCATCCTTTCTCCTAGGCCTTTTTACTTGTGACAACCTTCTGAGAGAAATTGGCTCATAAGCCCTCTTGTAGACTGTTCAAATAACCTAACCTTCAAATTCAAATAACCTAACCTTACAGTATACCGAACCAAAAAGAGAGCACGTAAGAGAAAAGCGGAGTTCCACTGGCATCGCATTTTGAGCTACATGTCCGTTTCTACTTGCAGCTTGATCTGTCAGTATATCACACTTTATATATCTTAAAGCCACGTCTGTTTAATGACTTTTATTAAAGGGAAACCATACATATCCAATCACAATAATAAAAGGCTTTATTTGAGGTTAATAATTTTTAACATTATTCTTACACTGCGCGAGAGCAAATTCAAACTTCCTCATGTAGCCTCCCTAATCAGCAGCTCTATATCCCACTGCCCTGGTAATTCGACTACTTCACCCTCTACACAATATATACAATGCAGGAGTTTATTGAAAATAAGCTGGAACTGTTAAATTCTAAATGATAAGTAGAAATTACGAGAAGCTGATTACTGGCTTCGGTGGCGTGCCCATCCAAGAACCATAACTCATGTATTTAGTTGTACTCAGTAATTCAAAATAAGTAATTCAAAATCCAGCTCTTTTATGTACTTGTAGTAAACGATTTTTAGTTTCAAATGTCCGCTTTTAAAGTTTTGCTTTAGCGAGAATCTGACCTTCGCCTTTATGGAAGGTGTTGCCATGTGCTCTATGAATTGCTTTACCGAAAGTGTTTTAACTGTCTTATTTCAGACAATGTTCTTGCACTCCCCTTTTATTTTATTTTTCCCTTTCCCACAGATACTTTTTTATAAAAATATCGGCTTTTACGCATTTAAATAGATAATGTTATTCGAAAATTTATAATTTATTTAAATTAAAATTAAAAATTTAAAGCGAATTACCTTTTCTAGTTACTTTTGCTCATCACCTTCTTTATATCATAGATTCTTATTCATATTCTTATCGTAGATTCTTATGCTTATTCTTATTCTTATGCTTATGTGAAGTGAAATTAATTTTTAAAAAAGCTTAAAATGCAATGTGCTGCCGTAAGCTTTTATAAACTTTTGTAAGTTTCGCTTTTTTTAAGTTAGTTGTTATGAACTGACATTCGTAGTAAAAGTTGATATTTGGGGACGTATGGTGTTCCTCGCTTGGTAATTATGCGTAAAAACAGCGTGAAAACTTCACAGAAATACAACGTGACTCACTTTTCTCTCGTAACATAAGCTGGATGTATTAACGGACATGCGATTAACTATAAATAAAAATAAATAAACTTATTGCTGCTTTCTTTAGCGTAGTATAACATCTATTCTAATTTTACTCAAAGCCTATGTTCAGCGCTGCGAATGTTAATATATTCCACACAGCATATTTATATGTATAGTACGTGTATTGAAACTTTTTTAACATCAGTTGGCTTTGATGACCGGCCCTAGAATTAATCTGGGATACAAATACTTTCTTCAATAATTTTTGATGAACTTTCGAAGTACGAGAAAAAAGTTTATTGTTTATTTATTTTGAAATTTTGTTTTTATATATTTATTTCTTTAGAATCGGAACAATTTCTTGTTAAAGCAAAGCATTTCTTTCTGGAAAATCCCTTTGTTGAAGCCTATATGTTACCTACCTAATAAAATTTGCGGGACAAATTCAAGGAACAGTTATAAAAAATCATGTAACCCGAATGATTCACGCCTGAGATACCTTCAAAATTCAGAACTGCAAATTTTTGCAAAATAAATTTAAATAAGAACTTAAAAAATGTGATATAAAGTGAGGCAGTTAAAAGTTGGTGTACGATTTAGAGATGCAGAAAAAAATTTAATAAAGTCTATGGTTAGTTCTGACTGAAATGCAAGCTTTGCAGCGAATTTTTATGCTCTTGTACTGTCAAGGGGTTCCTGAGGGAACAAAGCGTATTCGTGATGAGTAGCGCCTTGAAACATCGGGGGAATATTATGTGGGAGCTTCAGTGAGGCAGATCGGCGTCATAATGTTCCTAAATACGTTCTATCGAATTTTAATCCGGAAAATATGCGGGGCACTCCATCCACTGGATTCCTTCTTCTTAAGATAATCGGTCACTAGTGCAGCGCGATGGGGACGAGTATTAGGAGAAAGTTATTACCGGTTACGACCCTAAACAACTTGACATAAGGACCTTAGCTCTGTATATTTTAGCATTCATAGTTGCATTGTTAAAAAGTTTATGGTTGCATTGTTGTAGGTCCGTGCGGTCATTCAAAATGATGCCTCCATACTATGATTTCACAACCGTCGTACCGATGCCTTTGACGGATGTTTTTAGGTTTATTGTTTTTCTCTCTCCAGATTGTAATACGTCTAGAATCTCTCTCCATATAAACAAAAGATTAAATAGTAAAGAGAGTTCGGCTTCAGTTCTAGGTACTCCAATCACGATGATCTCTGCAACAGTACCACACATTTTACAGAAGGAATTAATGGGACGCAAATCATGCATCCTTGCATACAGCCCTCTTTTATGCAACTTGTCACTCACGGTATATCTGGCTAGTTGATTTCTATAGCTACAGCAAACTCCCTAGTAGTCTGAGCTGACTTCATTTATCTATTTCTTTAACAATCATTGCCAAATAACGGTCCTGAGAGTCTGTTGGGTCACTTTTCAACCTTGATCTGGATGCCTGCATACATTACCGGTGTCTTTAAACCATTTTCAGATTCTTGACATGAAGCTTTTGGCTAACTTTTTGTCTTTACAGAACTATGTCAGTGACCGTCTTGCTTCTCTTCTCCGCTCATTCTCACACTCTGTCGTAAGCTTTCTCAACAACATGATCCACCTTTCACATGCAAAAATTTTATCCAACTACTCGAACAATCTTTGAAATTAAAATCTGAAACCCTTTGCGCTCTTTCCCGCATCTAAGAAAGGGTGCAAAATTTTACATATAACGTTTCTACTCGCTTATTTCCCCCGTTTCCTACTAATTTTATAACTTGAAAACTGGGATATAAAAAATATGCTGTGTATATTATTTCTTAAGAGATGGCTTCAGTGATAAATATAGCATATTTTAAAGCACACATAAGGGCACACTAATATTATTAGAGAATTATGCATTTCAAAAACTTATAAATTTCAATAATTTTACTTTTACTTACAGGAACTAAGTTTCTGTTTGTGAAACATTTTGCATTATTACCGTAAATAGGAAATCTCTAAACCATATACTGAAAGAACAAGGAGAGAAAATACTTGAAGAGGAGAAATGTGCTATTAAATACGTCATTTGTGAAGCGAAGTTGGATTCCATTGTATTGTGTAATAGCCCCTAGTGATCTTAAGCTACCAACCAAATACCTTTAACTCGACTTCACTTGCTAGAATTAACATAAAGCACGTTTTGCAGTTGCTCCTTTAATTTTTCTGTAAGTATATTTTAATACGATATTTGGATTTCTCTAAATCAGTTTCTCTTAATGCTCATATATGTTGACGGCAATTATATTGCTTAAAACAATGTTTGCTTAAAACAATGTTGCTGCTTCGGATACTATGTAGTATCTATAGAGTTTATTTTAAGAAGACACCGTTGCATATCTTTAAGATAGCATGTCTTTAAGATTAAAAATTAGATATCAAATTCATCTGCAAAATGGGATTATAAAGCCCTAGTGGCCATGTGATTGAGAAATTAGTATTTCATTTTCTAAACACAAATTTCATGTAACCAGTAAAGTAGACATGGTTGCGGAAACTTACGTGTTTTAGGACTGTGCGTAATGTATCTCTTTTCACATCCAGCACAATCCGTGACTCTCCGGCCGATTTTATCCTCCAGAAGATGTCTCTGTAAGCTTGAGAAGGGCGAAATTGATAGAGCTGGACTCGCCACTCATTTTTTTGGGCTTCCTTCAAGAAATCTCTAATTACACCTGTAGGAGAAAGAATTTTAGTTTCCAAGAAGTAATTTTTATTCTTTTAAAGTGTACAGGAAAGATTCAAATATGCAGTCTGTTACTTCAATTTGAAATTCATGTTGTTTCTTGCAAATCCGTGTTCTTTCAGTTACGTATTCGGTGTGATTTATATGTAATAGTTTTATATGTACAACTTGAAAATTAAAAGAAAACTATTTCATTTTGTTCTATTACTACATTTTCGTTAATTATTTTTAAATGCTCGGAATATAGTAGTGTTAAAAAGATCATATACTTGTTTTTAAAAATTTCGCAGTTATGTGTATTTTAGATGAACTCCTACTCAGGTTTACTGGATTATTTTTACAAGCACGAGAAATGAAATGTATAACTGGAATATATTTTTGAATTACAAAATATATAATATCTGAATGTACTTATCCGAATGTTGCTCACTAGTAACCATATGCGTTCATACGCTGCTACAGTGAAATAAATGCATCATTATTAATTATTGTCATTGTTATCCTGATATTTATTATTTAATATAATATTTGAACTGCGTATCGCATTCTCTTTTTTCATAATATGTCATTCAGGCCATGCAAACCACTTTTTAACTTCAATAAGTAAAAATATTAATTTGTTTATTAATTACTCGGACTTTGCATTATGGTTAAATGTAAAAAATCTGCCAAATTATATGGTTACGGCTGGTCTTTTTGATGGGGAAAGTTTTATGATGCATATCAAGTGAAAATATACATACATATTGAATTCATATGACTGGTCGAATAGTAAAACTCCTCTTAAACTATTTGAAATATAAGATTACCTTATCAGTCTTCTTCCTGATAAATTTCAACGCCAGTATCGTAGTTTACGATAGTTTTCTTTCCGCCATTTCGCTTCTACGAAACATCTCCAATAGTATCATCTTCGGTAACGAATATCCCCACCACTGGCTGGTCGTTGCATGGGTGTTTTTTATAGTTTTCTTTCCGCCATTTCGCTTCTACGAAACATCTCCAATAGTATCATCTTCGGTAACGAAATATCCCCACCACTGGCTGGTCGTTGCATGGGTGTTTTTTACAGTTTTACTCATGTGTTTGAATACGATCCAGTTTTCCCTAGACAGTCCTGTATGACGGTACCACTTCTCTTAGGCAGGTTGTTTTAATGTGTTTTGCCATATTCAAAATATCTAACCTAACCTCCGCTAACTTAAGAAATTTGATGATGATTTTGACTTCTACGGAGAAAGGAGAAAGCCAAAATATTGTTAAGATGCTTTATAGTACAATGGCTGAAGGAATTCGATAGGAACCGCTGTCTTAAAGCAGATTTTTCAGGATTTTTTTAATGCAAGCAAATGACTGTGCGATGGAAGAAAAGGCGTTAATCTCAGCAGTCGAATTTGCTATCCTGTTTCGTGTCTTTCACACCAGCCACAGTTGATGAAAGATTCCGATTATATTGGATCAGGCAGAGAGAGAAATCGCAGATATCGTGACCTGACGGATGCAAATGGTGATGAGATAGTAATCACTTATCCTTGTTCTCTGTTTCTTTTTATGCACCGTTATCTCTTTTATCGGCACTATCAAATCTCTGAAAATTCAGTTTAACGCCTCGTCGTCACTGCCGCTAAATATGAGTCTTTCAGAGCACTCACTGTCTTCCCACTTTTTTGAAAGTAAAACTTCAATGCGTAATTATATATACCGAGTATTTATCATATCGTTGTTGCTTTCAGCGTTATTTTAATTTTTATATTTTAGTGACTATGACAGTATACAGCTTAAATGAAGGTCTGAAAATGCTTAAAAATATTTGCCATATGAATTGGTAATAACAGTTCCTTTACCTTAGGTTATTTATTTAGGTCAGACTTTGAAGAAACTTTCTACTCATTATTATTATTGTTATTATTATTAATATTATTATTATTATCGTCATTATATGCAAGCAAGAGTGTTTGTAAAGAATTTTCAGTGTGCAGAAACGGAACGGAAACTAAATCAAGTTTTCCCCTAGTACTAGAAAACAAAACAAGTACATGCACTTTTAGGTGGTGGGAAAAAAATCGTTCAAATTATAAAAAATATTATTTTAAAGGATAATAGCAGAAAGCAGCTCAGAATCCTTTCCAAGACCAAGTGGTATTTTGTAGGAATCCCTAAAAGAGAAATTTTCCTTTAAAACATTTTTGAAACGCTTTATGCGACGAATATTTGATTAATAGTTGTAGAGTCTTGGGGTAGAGCAAATTAGCGATGCCGTCACCATAAACTCCAGATCTCCCAATTGCTAGCCAGACGTGATTGCACCACGAAAGCGTCTGGAAAGAATTCCTTATATTCATTCTCACTTAAAAGGCGACTAAGGAAAAGGAATGTAAAAAAAATGATAACCTGTTAATACATTTCTTGGCGTACCAACTCCTTGATGAAGACGTCATGAGAAATGTAAAATCATCTCTTTATCTATTTTTGCTTTTTTTTTTCTTTTTTATATCACATTTTTCAGTTTTGTGCAGTCGTTGTGTTCATTGCTTTGTTCATTTTTTCATTTGGTTTGCTGTTTCAATGGAATATGAATTTAAAATTCTCTATTTATTTTTTGATTTTTAATATATTATCACTCATATAACATCAGGTTTCAAAGCATGGCTTAGCTACCGGTTTTTTTCGAACTTATTACTTTCCTTTATATATGTATATACAGACACACACACACACACATACAAAGTAGTAAAAAAGTAGAGTAGTAACTAGATTAAATGAGAAAAAGTAGATTTAAATGAACAAAATACGATAAAATAAATAGAAACACTCCTAAGCCGTCGACTAAATAGTTTCTGATTACGAAAAATTGATAGGAACGATCATTAACGCTTGCATTTTAAGGAGAAAGGTCGTATTTAAATCACGGTATTATTTATGTGAAGTAAAAATGTGAAATATTGTCTAATTAAAATTTAAATCTAAACCTCTTTGAAATTAAAAATGATAAGATTTCGCAAGTAAAATCAGATAATACTTCAGCAGTTAGTAAGCTTAATGTAGATGGAACATTTTATGGCGTATGTTTTTATACTGATCTTAAGCTTACTGCAGAAGTATGGTCTCATTCCTTGTTTCTTAAATTTACATGAATTATCTTAAGACTTAATGGAAGTCATGATGCATCTGTCTCTACACTAGAGGCACAAAATATCATATTGAATAAAATGAAGAAATGTTCTTTTCTCAATTTCTTTAATAGATTTCTTAAGCCCAGACCCATCAATGAAACTATGGTGCCAATCATTCATTGCTACTAGATGCGATGTGTTATGATATCAGCAAACATATTTACTGTAGATATAATCTTCAAGATAAAATTCAATCAGATTACTTTTCAATAGATAGAAAAAATTTTAAAAGTGCTTTTTTTTCTTTAAAATTATTGCGTATTATTATGGGAAAAAACCCTTTACAAGGTATTCAGTTAGACCAGCCGTTTTAACGACTTCACACGCGTTATGTATGAATCTCATATTTTGACGATATTCTGTAAGCAGATCAGAGCCGACAAAAATGTTATCTTTAAAATCTTATTAAGGACCAACCACCAGATGAAATGAGATTTCATTCTATTGCGACTAACTCTGCCGTGAATTCTCCATCTAGCATTATTAATAACTCACACACCGTAGTGGAGATCTCTAATCTAATTCTGTACAGGTTTATATTCCCTCAAGACAGATTCTCCTTTCCTAGAAGCTGCGCTGTTTAATATTTCGGTGCAACACATCTGAAGGGCACCTTAATTCTACATGAAGCTGAACAGTGACCTGTCGAGCAAATGTAATCTGAAAAAGAAATCTCTGAGGCGTACTGTCTTCGGAATTAATGAGACTTTTTCCTCAGAGTAGGATGCAAATGCTTTCCTTTTATTCCATTTAGTGTCTCTAAAAGATATCCCCACTAAAGTCAGGATTAATATCGACAGTCAATTCAAATTATTTTCCACAAATGTGCTCAATTTTTTTTTAGGGGGTGGGTTCCGCGGAGGCTGCTTTAATTATAACAGGAATTGCTGGGATAGGCAGGTGCAAAAATGAAACTGAGAAATCAACAGATACATGAATGATGCATTAATCAGATTAAAACAATGTATACTACCAAACAAAAATTAAATTTTATAAATGTAAGTATGTTGTTAAAGAATCATTCAAAACAAGTGCACGGAATCAAAACATGGTTGCCGTATTTGAAGACCGGTTTTTCGTAAGATACTTTTTTTAATTGATTTCAGATTTGCAGTTTTAATAATATTTGTCTACTTGACTGTTGAGAAAGTTATACTTCGATTTTCTGTCAACGAAAATTAAATTTAAAAATACATTAAAATACTCGTCATTAAGTATAAATTTCTTTTAAAATTCGTTACATTTTATGAATTAATTCTTTACTTGCGCCGAAATTTTGCTTCTTTTAATCTGTAAATAAAATCATAAATTATCTAAAGACTTACAAATTTTCATTGGTACGAGACCCTGGTATGTTGGCAACCAGTAAAAATTAGTAGTTTTAAATAGATTTAGATTCATCTGTAGTTTTATTATATTCTTCGCATTAAGTGTTACTTCGCAATGAACTGCAATATAAATCTTTACTAAGGATATGTTTTGTGAAAGTTAAAATAAGCCAATGAAATTGCGCTATTTTTACTACTATTTCAAAAGTACATTGCATGTATTACAAAGTTTGTTCACTATATTCTTACAAAATTACTTAATTGCATTCTATACATACGAATTAGATTTATTTATTTAAATATAAGCACATCAAATTACGAAAATGAGAAGTAAATAAACTATACATATATCTGTGGATCAAACTAATGTTTCGAAATCTTCTAAGAAGCATACAAGTTCTTAATTTATTTTTGATTTCAAAACTTGGAGCATCGCAATACATTCGTACTAGTACATCAAGTGTTCCAATAACGCGTTACGTGATATAAATAATTTTGGCATTCTTTACTCAGCAGTTATCCAGAATGCGTTTTCATTGTCTATGCAAAACTACTTTTATCTTGCATGATTTTGATAAAATACAGATCATTCCTCGCAGAAGATTAAGGATGTTTACATAGTTATATTAGAATTTTAGAGATCTTCAGTAAAAGAGAATACGTTTTGTTTTTATCTATAATTTCTATATTGCCAAAGCGATCCAATTTTGTTCCAAAAATTTTTTTTGGATATCTTGAGGAGAGGTATATTTTAAATTTATGAAATAACATTGATGTTAATAATATTCGTCCTCACCCCCAAAATTCCATTCGAAAGGAAATCGAGATGAAGACTAACATAACTGATGATTTTTTAGATGTTTTGAGTTGCATTAATTCAGACGTTGTTGAAGGCTTTTAAACCAATAGTTTTCTGTACAATATACAATAGGTAGGCAGTTAAAGAAAAATGAAAACAAAACAGGAAGCCTAACAAGTTAAAAAAAGTATTATTTATTTTTAAGATTATTTATACTTTAAGAAGAAGAATAACGCCAGAAAGGGCTTACTGGTTCCTCAGCCATATTGTAAAAGCTCACTTTTTAGTGAATTCTATAAACAAGATCCCAGGTTATTATTATAATGATATTATTTTAACGTATTCACCCAAATTAAAAACTTAGCAAAATAGGGTTTTCTTACATGGGTATATTTTCTCATGTGTGCACACAATATCGCGATGTAAACGCTGAAATTACAATGTATTTCGCAAGTCGATTGCTTTGAGTGCAATATATTTCTTTGAAAAGGGCTTGGTGTTAAATATTTTTCCATTATCGGTAGCAGAGTCAGAATATGAAAGAAAGGAAATAATATACTGAACGTCAAAAATGTTAGAAACTTGGTTATGGGACGTGTATTCTTACAACCTCCAAGTATAGAGTAATGGACTTCCAAAATTACTTCAAAATTGAAGAAAATGGGTAAATATGGAAACATTAGAAATGCTGATTGCGGGTTAATTGTCGAGGTAAAATATTTATTGTATATCTGAAGTGACAACAACGTTAGAGCTCTTAAGATATTCCATGCAAAGAATCTAGTGTTATAAATATACTACTAAGCGACGTAGGAGTGCTTAGCAAGCCGACTACAGCCGCCCACAAGCTAGAATTAAACAGACGTAGGTTGGCAAAGATGTGTCATAGATCATCCTAAGGACAATGATATTATAGTCACATCTAAGAAAATACCACAGTATCAAAGAGCATCAGTTGTCCACAAAGCAGACCTATAGAAGATGATTATAAAAAGCAACTGCCTTGAATACTTCCAGAATCTTCTAAAGCCGCCTACGGCTGAAGTCAGTAGAAAGCTAAGCAGTAAGACTATGCTAAAAATACAATGAAGCTCTTAAATGTTTGATTTTCACTTCTATTTTCATAATAACGTTTCCATTTAGTGTTTTTTGATTCCTTCCTTCCTTTACTCTGTTAGATAAATAACATTTTCTGTAGTCTTGTATTAATCTAATCCTTCTATGCGTTTGTAAGCAGTTTCTTATGGATGAGTATATCAAGAGGATGCACTCGTTGTCTTCAAATTACAAATTCTGATGATTTAAATAGACAAATAAAATATATTCAGTATTTCAATGGGCTTAAAAATTATTTAAATGTGAAGATACAATGAACAACGTTTAACCGCTATAGATTTCAGAAGATCTTTTTCATTCTCCTCTAGTTTTAAAACAGAAATTGCTTGATCTTAGTGATCTAATTAACTCTTGACATTATTAAGGCTAAGATATTATTTAAATTTCTATTAACACAATTTCTAATTTGCTAGAAATATAATAAGTTTTTTGAACTCCAGTGTTTTTAGTGCCACAATGATATTATATTACAAAACTGCAGAAAATTCATCAAATTCTCAAAAACAGCATTCAAAAATGCAAGATAAACCTTTCTGTCAAGATGTCTAATGCAGGCGTTAGTTCTTTTGCATTGTTACTAAAATATATGTATCTATGCCTAATTCAGTGCTTAAAATTTTAAGAAGCAACACAGAAAAATGACCTTCGTGTTCGTCGTAGACTAAAGAAAAGCTGCGCCATCCCCATATCTTGACAAGGTCGACGTACGCTTGGCTGAGGACTGAAGGTCTTGGGAACAAGTTGATGGACATGTCAGCTCGTTGCAGTTGGAAGTCCCACCTCGTCTCCACGTGCGGAATGTCGATGGCGTCGCAGATGGATTGCACGTGCATACTCGTGACGTCGGATTGGGGACCAAAGATACCAGCGATCCCCGCTTGAAGGAGGGAACACACTATAAAAAAAAATAAGGAAAAAAAAATTGTTAAATTTGCCAGGATAAACCCATGTACATTTTAAAAAATTTCTTCCCATCCGTATTTAGTTAAATTCCCATGCAGATTTAAGCTTATTATATCATTTAATAAAAAACTGTAGAAGATCAAAAATTATATATATTCAGGATATGAACATACTTAATTCTATCAACAGATTATAAAACATCTAAAGTGTACTGTCCTGTGGTGTATTAGTGTTCATTAGAATTTGTCTTTTAGTTTACAGTTAATATTACTACCAGTGCTACGCAGAATGCAAATAACTATATTGTGGATTCTTTGAAAACACCTAAGGTATACTGTAGTTTAGTAGTAAATATTCATGTGCAGACAACATATTTAAAAGAATGAACAGAGTAGAGACATTAAGATTTTTTTGGAAGCAGGCAAGATGAAAAATATGCAACCGCCTTTGCCGGGAATCGAACCACGGACCTCTGGAATACCGGCCCAGCGTGCTACCGTTCCACCACGAAGGCACGCTAGGGAAGTGGGAGAAATACCTTATAAATTAACGAAGAATACACGCAGAAGTTAAACGTAATTAATATTATACATCTATTCATATATCAAAGAATGCTGCTAGCTGTCGATTAGATTAAAATATTACTTACATGTATTTACTTCTGATAATAATACATTAATAATTTAAAAAGTAAGCAAAGACTGATTTACATTTACAAATACCGTAACCCGTTCGAAATGTGAATTCACAAAAATATGTGAAAAAATTCAATCACTCCTTCGCAATACATGTCTCGTATACAAAAGCCATAGTATACAAATAATGCACGTAGTAAGGAATGAGAAAGCAAAAAAAAATCCACTGATTGCAGTATATATATTTCTTTATAATTGCAGTGTATATATTTTCTTCACCATCTGCTATAAGAATCTTGATAATTTAAAGCCTTTAATTTAACAATTACCCTTTTTGTAACTCTCCCTTGGTTTAAAAATTACTGGGGCAGTGGGTTTTATCGTGCTGTTTATGACTAGAGAAAATTGAAAATATTTCTTTCAGTATTTTAATGAAGGATCTTATATTTTACTACTACGTCATTCATAAATTAGGGGTCGGCTGAGACTATCATTTTAGATGATCAGGAACATCGTTGAAAAACAGAGCCTTAATAAAATCTTCATTTTATATAATATTTAAATTATGCTTTGACATTTTGTTTAGTGGTTTCTATTATGCTTTAAATTTAATCTTAAAATGACAATTCCATATGTCGCATCATTAAATAAAACAGCGAAAGCAAATTCCTGTATTCTTGCCTGTAAGTTAAGTGAATTATTAGAAAATTGTTTTTCACTTTTTTATAGATTTGAATTGTGCCAATTTGAAAATAATAAGACATTTAAATGGGTGACAGCAGGCCGGCGCCGAGTAAAAAAGGTGTCGGGTAGAATCATTAAAACAAGCAGTTTGTCTTGCTGCCTGTCTGAACAGGAAAACTGTCTTATTTGAACGCCCCTCCGTTGGTCGACTCAGGTAAAATCTGGAAAGTACTGATTAGGATCTGTACCTAGGCAGTCTTCGGCCACGGGTGTTTAAAATCAGTCTCCAAAGGACTGGAGTCATCGCTGGCGATGGCTGTTTCAAGCTCTACAGGGACCATATGGTACTGTCTTGTTCGTTCCGTTGGTTGTGGTGGAGCTACATAGTCAGATATTCATGGTTGTCCGGGGCGAAACCCCCCCCCTCGTCGGGGAAGCTGGCGAACTTCCAATCGATCGTTTAAATCTGCCTTGAAGTTTCCAGTGGGCGCCTGGAGCCTCAAAACTGCATATTCATATCCTTCCTTGGTTTCTCCCTGGGGCGCCTAAAGCCGATACCATGACGTAGTTGTTAGCAGGCCGGATTGGTGGCGCGGTCTGTCTGACAGTGTTTAAGCGACTTCGTTCTGCTGTCCAGGTTTGGGGCCTCTATCGGTGGCAGATGTTTTTACAATTCCTCCAGAACAGGGACGTGGAATGTGACTTGCTAAGTATTCCTGTCGGCTCAGCTTACTCTTAGCTCGTCGGCTCGACCGATAAGTTAGCGGCTTTTTGGATCGCCTCTAGGGTTTGGGGCGTTTAACTGTGATAAGGCAGCCTCGAGCTTGACAAGTCTGAGTGCCCCTTCCTCATAGCACACTGTCTTATTTTACCGAAAGGTATAACCAGGGCAGGAGTTTGTCTCTGTTCCCTTCTGTCTTATTTGAAAGTGAAAATGAAATTACGTGATGCCGATGCGTATGTAAGGGTAGACGCATTCGACAAATTCCTTAATCCTTATTTCGTGTCTACTGTTCCAATAGGAGTAATTTGTGCAACATTTATATTTTTTGTGATTGCTTGTTGTTATTGTTTTTCTACATAAAAAAGGTAAGTGCAGTTACATATTATGTTAAACATAGGTTAACTTTTTAATTCGGAAAAGCAACTATTTGAGCATAATTACTCAAAAACTGTTTACCTGTCATGTCTGAACCATTGTCGTATTCTTGGCCGCGTAAATTATTAATATCTAAACCATTTTCCTCTAAAGTCTTTAATAAGAATGTTGTTCGTCCTTCACCGGTTGTATCTGCTGAAACACAAAATACTAAAACTCTTTCTTCAATGCTCACGTTTGTACTTTCTAAATTAAGATACCTCATACAAATTAATATCTGCTCTTAATGTCTGACATCAGGGCTACAATCAAGTAAAATATAAAAATACTTTGCCTGTTTGACCTTACTTAAAATAATTTGCTTTATATTATCCCCTAATAAGCTAATTTTTCATTTTTCATTTTATTTTCATGATAATGAAGCATATTTTTTTTAGTTTGAATTTTATTAATATATATAGACATGATAGGGTCAAATGATGTGATCATTTCTATACACTTTAAAAAATTATTATTTCTTTCGAATAACTTGTTACTGGAACCACGGAGGGCTAAGTTTTGTTTGTCTAAAAACTGAATGGCATAGATAATTCTTTCAATAACATCGCGCCAATGCTTAGTCTCTTTTTAATAAATTTTGAAATTCCGAATCAACAGGTTTATTCTTTCGTAATCGTTCTAAGAAATCGGACCAAAGATGTAGATTCCAGGAATGCACTTTATATTTTCATGAAGTTTTAAGTGCTCATTTAAGTGGTTTTAATAGTTAAATTCAGTACTACTCAGTTTTACGTTGCTGAAACTGTTAAAAATTTTGCAGCAAAAACAATAAACAGAATTTTTTTCAGCAGAATTTAGCAACTAATCCCTTTTAACTGTTTCGCTGTTGATGGCGTTGATGAACAACTAGTGCTAGTAGAGTAAGCTTGGGTATTCCCTGGGTTTTGGAAAACTGAGTAATTTTAAAGTTTTGGTTTATTGAGTCTTTCTCTCACTTTCGTTTTCTTCATTGCATTCTGATACTCAGACAGTTTTTTCTGTTTTTCTTCCGACATCTGGGAAAAAATAAAAACAAAAAATGCGGAAGTAAAAATAAAAATAGAAAATAACTATTATAAAAACTATCGAGTAAAACACTTCTCCTTAAAAACACTCGGAAGATCACTGTTTGAAATATTTTATCTTAGTTCTAAAAAGCTGAGTTTATCTTGAAACATTGCTTAAAAAATATATAGGTGGTAGTACTCTTTTAATAAATAGGTGGTAGTACTCTTTTGTTTATTAAAGTAAATAAATCAAATTTAAAGTATGTATTTAAGATGAAATGAAATAACGAAACATTTTCCTTCGGTTTTCCAGATAAGCTAAAAATCGGAAAATGGCAAATTTTTGATTTCAGAATACCTTGTATATTTTTACTCCTACAAATCGCAAATAGGTATATTTTAAATTCAGTGGTACTCCGTAAATATATCAATCCTTTATTCTCAAAAGATATAATTTTTAGATTAATAAACAAATAGTTCATGTAAGAAAAAATTTTTTTCGAATAATTATGTTCAAATCGTCGTTTTTCTGAATTAAAAAGCTAACCTAAGTTTAACATAATATGTAACTGCACTTAGCTTTTTTTAAGCAATTTGTCGATCGCGTCTACGGCGCCGGCCTGTACCTTTATATATGTTACCGTGAAAGACCGAAACTGGAGAATGTCGACTTTCATCGGAAAATGTCAACATTCACCAAATACGTCGCTGAAAGATCGAATATTTTCTTTACATTCATGTACATTCGGACCCTCACCGGTGTATGTCGACAATCACAAATATGCTCTGGTGTAGGTCGAAAAGAGAGGAGTATATGTACACGCTGCCATTCCAAAGGGAAGTGTTCCACAAATAAATGCAGTTGTAAAAGCAAGAGCCTCTTGTGCAATTCAAAGTGTCATAATAGTTTAAGTTGTTGCAATAAATAAGATTTTAATCACATAATTTGGTAAATTTATAACTTCTATTATTTTCCTTTCTCATTTTGAATGTACTGTGTGTTTTAAGTTCTTATATTCTTAAGTTCTTATTCTGAGTTTCAAGTGCGTTTTTTCGCGAGTGAATTACGGAGAAGGAAATATAATATTCTTATATGTTCAACATTCACCATTAGTACATGGTGAATGTCGACATTCACCGGTGTAAGTCAGAAATAAGAGTATTTGGAAAATATTTCGGACATACACCAAGCGACTACGTGAATGTTGACATTCACCGGTGAAAGTCGACATTCTCCAGATTGCGGTGTTTCACCGTAACATATACACATCGGCATCACGTATTTTCGTTCAAATATATTTACAAGATCAGCTCAATTTATGTCAAAAACTGCAAAAAGCATTAACTGATAAAAATCAAAACGATATAATAGTATAGATCTTATGCATGAACTGCAGTTTTTGCAAACATTGGAGGAAATGTAGCATCGCCTTTTGAAACTCTAAGCTATCGTTGTCAAAAACATAGCAGTGTGCAAAAAAGAATTTTGGATATATCTCTAGATATCAACCCTAGAGCATTTTTTGTG